CATGAAGGAGGAGGTGTTATGGTGTGGGGGTGCTTTGCTGGTGACACTGTCTGTGATTTTTTTAGAATTCAAGGCACACTTAACCAGCATGGCTACCACAGCATTCTGCAGCGATATGCCATCCCATCTGGTTTGGGCTTAGTGGGACTATCATTTGTTTTTCAACAGGACAATGACACAACACACCTCCAGACTGTGTAAGGGCTATTTTACCAAGGAGAGTAATGGAGTGCTGCATCAGATAACCTGGCCTCCACAATCCCCTGACCTCAACCAAATTGAGATGGTTTGGGATGAGTCGTACCGCAGAGTGAAGGAAAAGCAGCCAACAAGTGCTCAGCATATGTGGGAACTCCTTCAAGACTGTTGGAAAAGCATTCCAGGTGAAGCTGGTTGAGAGAATGCCAAGTGTGCAAAGCTGTCATCAAGGCAAAGGGTGGCTATTTGAAGAATCTCAAATATAAAATATATTTTGATTTGTTTAAAACTTTTTTGGTTGCTACATGATTCCATTGTGTTATTTCATTTTGATGTCTTCACTCTTATTCTACAATGTAGAAAATAGTAAAAATAAAGAAAAACCCTTGAATGAGTAGGTATTCTAAAACTTTTGACCGGTAGTATACATATTATTTGGGTGCATTTCAACAGTCAAAAATGTCTGCCTCCCCACACATCTTCGTTTGCACTGATCTGTAAACACAGGATAGTTGAAGGCAATAAGGTACTGTAAATGCATACTGTGAATTTGATTTCACCCATCCAGTTCCTTCCTCAGTGCCAATCTACTCGGTACCCAGAACCAAAGCTCATGTAAGAACTGGACTCTTAATGTTTCCATCTGTCACGAGAGACTACCTCAGTGCAGATGGAGAGAACACAGGGAAGGAATGCGCTCATGCCTTACTGCCACCCTTCCAGGTGTATAGCTGGGAACGGTGGACACAGGTGATGCAGAGTCTACACTCCCAATCCCAGGGTGAAGTGCACTACAGACATAATAGAGGAAGCTTATGGGGCTGTGGTCTTAGGTTACAGGTTCACCATAATGACGGGACCTGCCTTGCATTCTAATTGCAGGTAATTGACCTCCTGCGGACTGTTATTGTTCCAGCTTCTTTTGTGCTGTCTGACGTTTAGAGCAGAGGTCAGTGAACCTGGGACCCCAGACTCCATCAGACAGGTAGGCTAGGATTAAATGACCCACGACATTCTGATGTTAGAGAATAGACTCATCGTATGTGTTTAATAGACTCCCAGCTCTCCCTCCTTTACTGTTACGATGTTTGCCATTAACTTTGGTTTATAGAAAACGTTATGAGGATGACTTGATTGAAGATACCGTTTCTCGTTCAGTTATATACTGAAGAGCAGGTACAGATGAATTCCGAGAGAAATAATTTTTTTATAATTTGAACTGAAGTAATTCACAATTTGAGATATTGCAGTTACAAATTGGACTACAGTCCATGTAGTTCAGAATCTTCGCTACAGCAGAGACAAATCACCTGCACCAGTGCACCCTCTCTGTCACAGAATACTAGAGGCTCCGTCTCAAGAGGCCACAGTAACCTGGGAACAATGGTGTCCTTTGTGTGCAGTGAGAGAGTGACAGAGAGTGAAGATCGGCTCCTACGGAGACAGACAGAAGAGCATCCATTAGGGCTCCATTCAGTGACGCCGTTGACTTTCATGTTGTCCCATTGTGGCACTGCTCCCTGGAGAGGCCGACACAGAGTGGGTAATGAGGGGTAATTGACTCAGGGTCAAGGATGATTAATTCCCTTGGTCAGGTGTCCCCGCTTTCATACCTGGCCGAGACGCAGGTAGCCGTGAAGCCACAGGCAGGCGGGCAGAGCGGAGCAGGAGGCTGGCTGGCGCTGGAACACGAGACGACACCGGCAACACACATGGTACACACTGCAGAGGCCGTTCTCATGATGTCATCCAATCCCTGCACAGGCTAGCGTTTAATGCTCTGAACTGTGGCACATTGACTGCTGCCACAGACCACAGCTCTCCACCACTCTCTCACGCATACACAAACTAATGTGCGCACGCACACACACCTAGCAGTGTTCACATATCAGTCTGCTTCATTTATATGGCTAATGACCTGGGGTAAGACACAAAGGTGAAAGGTCATAACTATCTTCCCCCTACACAGAGCTATACTGAGCCCCCACCACAGAACACAGATTGAGAGTGACAGTCGTACTACCCTACCCTCCTTTCTCCTTCAGCTTCACTGGCTAATCTGAATCACTCATTTTCTGCACAAGCAATCCCCCCCCCCCCCAAAAGGCCAGTGATTACAGGCGACCTGCTGAACGTATGCACGCGTTTCTAAATGCCAGGGCTAGCTGGTAATTGACCAGGCAGACTGAGACGCCTGCGGTGTAATTGAGCAGGGTTGAGGGGTTCTGGTGGGACTGAAAGCACCTGGGGATCCCCCACCGGCCATTAAGCTCAGCAGGAGGGCTCCTGCCTGGGTCCACCTCAGGCTCAGGGCGGCCAATCACCCCTCATCCAGCCTATCCCCCTCTTCAACGGTGTGGGACACCCAAAGACCTGGAGGGGGTTTGGATCATATAGTGTGAGTGGAAGAATGAAAAATAATAAGACACTAACTTTACATTTACATTTTAGTCATTTAGCAGACGCTCTTATTCAGAGTGAGTGCATACATTCCTTATTTTTATATTTTTCATACTGGCTCCCCGTGGGAATCGAACCCACAACCCTGGCGTTGAAAACGCCATGCTCTACCAACTGAGCTACATCCCTGCCGGCCATTCCCTCCCCTACCCTGGACGACGCTGGGCCAATTGTGCGCCGCCCCATGGGTCTCCCGGTCGCGGCCGGCTACGACAGAGCCTGGATTTAAAAACACTTTAAAAACAGTTAGTTTAAATTCAATCATTTAACATTGATTCTGCAGTGAGACACACATCTATGTCAATGGAGAGACTCAAAAGAGAAGGTATCATTTAACTGCAATACAAAAGCTTCATAAGTTTGTCCCTTCCAGGCTGTCTCTGTCCATATGCAGTTTGGATAATAATGAACAAAGCAGAGCACACATGCTGAGCATGATATACGTCTACCCCCAATTGGCCTGTCCTTTCACTCCAGTTGTGCCGTCACAGACCTGAAATAGCCTCATCACTTCCACTACAGTAGATGACAGCTAGCCTAGCAACAAGGCCCAAACACACAAGTGCAACCAACCAACCTTCCACTAGGCAACAGCGTCATCTACTGATCTACATATACAGTGAGGGAAAAAAGTATTTGATCCCCTGCTGATTTTGTACGTTTGCCCACTGACATAGACATGATAAGTCTATAATTTTAATGGTAGGTTTATTTGAACAGTGAGAGACAGAATAACAACAAAAAATCCAGAAAAACGCATGTCAAAAATGTTATAAATTGATTTGCATTTTAATGAGGGAAGTAAGTATTTGACCCCCTCTCAATCAGAAAGATTTCTGGCTCCCAGGTGTCTTTTATACAGGTAACGAGCTGAGAATAGGAGCACACTCTTAAAGGGAGTGCTCCTAATCTCAGCTTGTTACCTGTATAAAAGACACCTGTCCACAGAAGCAATCAATCAATCAGATTCCAAACTCTACACCATGGCCAAGACCAAAGAGCTCTCCAAGGATGTCAGGGACAAGATTGTAGACCTACACAAGGCTGGAATGGGCTACAAGACCATCGCCAAGCAGCTTGGTGAGAAGGTCAATCTCCCTCTGCCTGGGGCTCCATGCAAGATCTCACCTCGTGGAGTTGCAATGATCATGAGAACGGTGAGGAATCAGCCCAGAACTACACGGGAGGATCTTGTCAATGATCTCAAGGCAGCTGGGACCATAGTCACCAAGAAAACAATTGGTAACACACTACGCCGTGAAGGACTGAAATCCTGCAGCGCCCGCAAGGTCCCGCTGCTCAAGAAAGCACATATACAGGGCCGTCTGAAGTTTGCCAATGAACATCTGAATGACTCAGAGGAGAACTGGGTGAAAGTGTTGTGGTCAGATGAGACCAAAATCGAGCTCTTTGGCATCAACTCAACTCGCCATGTTTGGAGGAGGAGGAATGCTGCCTATGACCCCAAGAACACCATCCCCATCGTCAAACATGGAGGTGGAAACATGCTTTGGGGGTGTTTTTCTGCTAAGGGGACAGGACAACTTCACCGCATCAAAGGGACGATGGACGGGGCCATGTACCGTCAAAACTTGGGTGAGAACCTCCTTCCCTCAGCCAGGGCATTGAAAATGGGTTGTGGATGGGTGTTCCAGCATGACAATGACCCAAAACACACGACCAAGGAAACAAAGGAGTGCCTCAAGAAGAAGCACATTAAGGTCCTGGAGTGGCCTAGCCAGTCTCCAGACCTTAATCCCATAGAGAATCTGTGGAGGGAGCTGAAGGTTCGAGTTGCCAAACGTCAGCCTCAAAACCTTAATGACTTGGAGAAGATCTGCAAAGAGGAGTGGAACAAAATCCCTCCTGAGATGTGTGCAAACCTGGTGGCCAACTACAAGAAACGTCTGACCTCTGTGATTGCCAACAAGGGTTTTGGTGGCCACCAAGTACTAAATCATGTTTTGCAGAGGGGTCAAATACTTATTTCCTTCATTAAAATGCAAATCAATTTCTAAGATTTTTTATATGCGTTTTTCTGGATTTTTTTGTTGTTATTCTGTCTCTCACTGTTCAAATAAACCTACCATTAAAATTATAGACTGATCATGTCCTTGTCAGTGGGCAAACGTACAAAATCAGCAGGGGATCAAATACTTTTTTCCCTCCCTGTACTGTTAACATGATACAGCTTCCCTGATACCCTTAACCCTCTGACGGAACAGCGCCTAGATACGACTGTTCTGTGCCAAAAGGACACCTGTCAAATATACTAAATCAATGTAAGCATTTTCATTTACTCTCTTAAGCACAACATTAAGTGTGACAGCAATACACTTCAATGACCCAAATATGTTTTATTAGAACATACGGTAACAAACACCTCCTAATATGAAATATTAAACTAGAAAACTACTCTGGTAAGGCAAGAGGGGTGAGAGAGTAAACTTTGGGAAGTCTAAAGCTGCTGAAGACACAGTGGAGAGAAAGATGATCCAAGGCTGACCGCCAAGCCCTAGTGCTTGGAGCGAGCTTCACCCTGCAAACGGTGGTGCTCCCTTAGCCTGTAGTGAGAGAACAGAGAGTTAGTTAGCACATTTATCAAAAAACAAAAAAAAGATGGTTAACGCTCAAGAAGCCTTCTTGAAAATATAACTTTTTTGACAATTGAGTTTGCTTATGAAGGACACAGACCTGACAGCGTTGATCTTGATGAACCCAGAGGCATCACATGGGTCATAGTCTCCCTGCACGTCCATACTGGGCAAAAGAAGAGGGGAGTAAGTCAAGTTATTGTGTAGGCCTATGTGGTTGGGGAAGGTCTTTGGCAGTCACAGAGACTGCTCATTCTAAGCTGAAGTTATTCCAACACCCGTATAGCACACAGGAGAGGTAGGACAGTGAATAACATTACCCACAGGGTTGTGGGTTCGTTTCCAACGGGGGGCCAGTATGAAAATGTATGCACTCACTAACTGTAAGTCGCTCTGGATAAGAACGTCTGCTAAATGACTAAAATGTAAAATGTAAATGAGTGTAATATGGTTGTTGTATTATCCAAGAGTACAATATGGTTGTTGTATTATCCAAGAGTACAATATGGTTGTTGTATTATCCAAGAGTGTAATATGGTTGTTGTATTATCCAAGAGTGTAATATGGTTGTTGTATTATCCAAGAGTGCAATATGGTTGTTGTATTATCAAAGAGCGCAATATGGTTGTTGTATTATCCAAGAGTGTAATATGGTTGTTGTTTTATCCAAGAGTGCAATATGGTTGTTGTTTTATCCAAGAGTGCAATATGGTTGTTGTTTTATCCAAGAGTGCAATATGGTTGTTGTATTATCAAAGAGCGCAATATGGTTGTTGTATTATCCAAGAGTGTAATATGGTTGTTGTTTTATCCAAGAGTGCAATATGGTTGTTGTTTTATCCAAGAGTCCAATATGGTTGTTGTATTATCCAAGAGTGCAATATGGTTGTTGTATTATCCAAGAGTGCAATATGGCCAATATACCACAGCTAAGGCGTTATGTCATGCATAAGAACAGCCCTTAGCCGTGGTATATTGGTCATATACCACACCCCCATGGGCCTTATTGCTTAAGTGTAATATGGTTGTTGTATTATTCAATAAAAGCTAGGTTTCCATCCAATTGGCGACAGATTTTCATGCAAATATTCTAAAATCAGCATAAAAACAATACACGCATTTTCCCACCAGAGATGTTTCCTTCAAATTGACTTATTGCTGATAAAAAAAAACTGTGCTGATGACGTAGTGCACATAAAAAATAATTTGTGCGGTTAAATTCCCATGTACCGAATTAAAAGTACAAGTTAAATGGGGTTCCATCGCATTTTCAACTCTGCTGATGGTGTTCTCACAAAATAAATGTGCGTTATACTGTATAGCGAATGTGCCCACTCTGGTATCGGCACGTGCGCTCTAGCCAACAGCTCGTAGATACAGTCCGGGTAAAGCCTACATGATGAGATTATTATGGACAGAGCGATATTATTTCTATTTGTCAAATGGCAGCCAAGCATCGATCATCATGTAACCAGAATAAGACCCTCGATATTTATTAAAAGGAGCATCAAGCTCATCACCGTGCACTTTCACCACCCTGTGAAGTTCATCATAACTTATTTCATCTGTAGCCTAATAACTGCATGCTTTCCCAAGTCGTAGTGGCATGACTCCAAGTTTACTTTGATATGATGGTTATTATATAAATATTTGCGTATAAACGTGTTTCCACCGCCATTTCTCGCATAATTCATTTTACCGACTAAATGAACCCACCTTGTTGAGTGTATTTTGTTTTGTCGACATTTGGAAAGTTTGCCGACAAATGAGCTGTTTCCAGCAGGCCTGTTGTGAACTTTATCCGACATGTACTTTACTCGCATAGAAAGGCTGGATGGAAACCTGGTTATTGCTGAATAGTTTGTGCTTACTGGCTACTGTTATATTTACGCTCAATTTGAGCTGCGGACCAAGAATGTCGCGTTGCCAGGCACAACAAAACGTAAGGCAAGGATGTAATGTGAATTGAAAAGTAGAATAATCTTTCGCCACACCGCTACTCAGACTCGCCTTCATATCTCGTAGTGGGAATAGGACCTAATTACAGTAGTTTCTACCTGCAGTGCTGACACCCTCCGCTCCTCCTCCACTGAGCCCCAGCTGCTAATCTAAGACGTGCACTCATCCTTCACAGACACACTGGGCTGGAGGAAATCAAAGAACGCCAGAAAAAAAAAAGACTCCGTGGAGAGAAAGGCAAGGCCCTACCTGCCATCTTATGAGTGCTGTCTATGAGGCGTTGAATGGCTGTGGAAGCAGGTTTCCAGAAGGTGAAAACACAGGAAAAACCATGTGGTCTAATTGACTGCCAAAGGCAACATTTTGACATTTGTCCCAGATCAATGCAGCCTGTGTGTGATGCTATACCACTGTGTTAATGACACTGTTTACTGGAGCCTGTTGAAAAGACGCAGCTAGCTGCCCACCAGGGAGGGTGAAATGGTGTGTGTGTGTGGGGGCAGTTCTTCAGGTGGTATAAGTGGACTTTGGGCCACAATGGGATCCTTCACAGGACACTCAGCACATCTGTTAACCTCAGAATAGCACCCCTAAGAACTTATCCTCCAGTGCAATCCAACACTCGGTCACCAACAGGAGTGTGTGTGTGTTCAGAGAACGCGAGAGAGGTTGAGCTCTCAGCTGCACAGCTCCCCCTGCTTAACTAGCATGAAACCTGTGCTTGGGCCCTAAAAGCAGCGCTCTCCTCTCCTTTGGCTGGAAATGCCATTAGCGGTGGCAGGGAGATGGAACGGGGCATATGGAGGCTTTGCTTTGGTCAGCACTGAGCCAGCCCAGAGGGCATAGAGGGCATTGGGGGTCAGGGGCCTGAATGGACTCACTGTTCCACAGCTAAGAGGCCAATGGGGAGAGAGCCCTCCAGGAATTGAGCTTGACACCCCTGCTCCACACTGATGTCTTTTGAGCCAGTGTCCATTTAATGTTGGTGTGGGGTCAGTGGAGAATGAAGTGACCTGAGCAAACAATAGAGATACTGCATATATGCAGTGAACGGATTATACTGTACCCAGAGTCAGAGATTAGTCACATGCACACAATGCTATAGGTCCTTACCTGACCAGTTCCTCATTGTAGAGGGATTTGGGCGACTCACGGCCCAGGATGTAGACCTGGCCTTTGAAGACAGACAGCTGCACTTTGCCCTCCACGTTCTCCTGGGACTTGTCTATGCAGTGGCGCACAAACTCGCACTCCGGACTGTACCAGAAACCTGGGGACAACAAGGAAATAGATGTATACATACTACTACCACCCCCAGCGCACGGGGATGTTATGGACATCCTCCTTAAGCCTCCATTAGAAGGGTGGCACAATTGTGCATATATGTGACCCCCCCCCCACCCACCCCACTTCCTCCTCCCATCCCACTCCTCATGCAAGCGCTTGTCCCATCGCTCCAGGTGAGGCTCAGACCCCTTCCCCTCCTCCCCACTCAACTGCTTCACCCAGGTGACCTGCTGTCTGTCTGGGGGACAGCTGGACTTGGGAGATAGAGGGCAACGATGCCCATCTCCATGGGGTGGCTCTCGCTCTCTTCCATGCCCTTCCACCTCCCAATCCCAAGAACAATCCTCTCCCCCGTTCCCTTTCCACTGAATCTGCACTGGTGTGTGAATATCATAGTCAGGCCAGGGCTGAGTGGATGGATCCAGCCACAGCTGTCCTCTTTCTCTCTCTCTCTCCGTACTGTGTTCTGTTCAGAGAATCCCCTGTGCCTTTAGACCATGCAGTGGGCCAGGCAGAGACCAAGCAGAGACAGTGGTATTTCACGCTTTAAGACTATAATGAGTTTAATCTCTGCCCCCCTCCTGGAGGGAGCTAGCTAGCGCCTGTACCTCTGTGTCTTGCTCTCTCTCCCTGGTCTCTCTGCCTGCCTGGCCAGCTCTCTCCTCTCATGAGGGTTTAATTGCAGTGGCTCAGTAATCAGTCTCTAACGGCTGTGATCCTATTATAGGGATGAAGGAAGGCCGGCCTGGGGGATTAGGACACCTGAGCCAGGGCCAGGCGGACAGGAGGCCTAGGCCCCAGTCATTCAGTCACACAGATACACATTACCTCTATGAGAGGCAGAGAACTAGTAACAGTCACTCCTCACCTGTCAATCACAGAGATGGCTACTGTGTGAGGTGTTCTGGCACAAAATGGCTGCCCTCTGCCATGCATAATTTATTACCCAGTTCAGTGTAACGTATTTTGCATAATTTTACCAATTTCTCATCAATGTAAAGTGCTTTGAAAGCAAGTGAAAATTACACTGCTCAAAAAAATAAAGGGAACACTTAAACAACACAATGTAACTCCAAGTCAATCACACTTCTGTTGTGCAAATGGAATAGACAACAGGTGGAAATTATAGGCAATTAGCAAGACACCCCCAATAAAGGACTGGTTTTGCAGGTGGTGACCACAGACCACTTCTCAGTTCCTATGCTTCCTGCTGATCCAGTACATCAGGAGACGTGGAGGAGGCCGTAGGAGGGCAACAACCCAGCAGCAGGACTGCTACCTCCGCCTTTGTGCAAGGAGGAGCAGGAGGAGCACTGCCAGAGCCCTGCAAAATGACCTCCAGCAGGCCACAAATGTGCATGTGTCTGCTCAAACGGTCAGAAACAGACTCCATGAGGGTAGTATGAGGGCCCGACGTCCACAGGTGGGGGTTGAGCTTACAGCCCAACACTGTGCAGGACGTTTGGCATTTGCCAGAGAACACCAAGATTGGCAAATTCGCCACTGGCGCCCTGTGCTCTTCACAGATGAAAGCAGGTTCACACTGAGCACATGTGACAGACGTGACAGAGTCTGGAGACGCCGTGGAGAACGCTGGCCTGCAACATCCTCCAGCATGACCGGTTTGGCGGTGGGTCAGTCATGGTGTGGGGTGGCATTTCTTTGGGGGGCCGCACAGCCCTCCATGTGCTCGCCAGAGGTAGCCTGACTGCCATTAGGTACCGAGATGAGATCCTCAGACCCCTTGTGAGACCATATGCTGGTGCGGTTGGCCCTGGGTTCCTCCTAATGCAAGACAATGCTAGACCTCATGTGGCTGGAGTGTGTCAGCAGTTCCTGCAAGAGGAAGGCATTGATGCTATGGACTGGCCCGCCCGTTCCCCAGACCTGAATCCAATTGAGCACATCTGGGACATCATGTCTCGCTCCATCCACCAACGCCACGTTGCACCACAGACTGTCCAGGAGTTGGGGGATGCTTTAGTCCAGGTCTGGGAGGAGATCCCTCAGGAGACCATCCGCCACCTCATCAGGAGCATGCCCAGGCGTTGTAGGGAGGTCATACAGGCACGTGGAGGCCACACACACTACTGAGCCTCATTTTGACTTGTTTTAAGGACATTACATCAAAGTTGGATCAGCCTGTAGTGTGGTTTTCCACTTTAATTTTGAGGGTGACTCCAAATCCAGACCTCCATGGGTTGATAAATTTGATTTCCATTGATAATTTTTTTGTGATTTTGTTGTCAGCACATTCAACTATGTAAAGAAAAAAGTATTTAATAAGATTATTTCATTCATTCAGATCTAGGATGTGTTATTTTAGTGTTCCCTTTATTTTTTTGAGCAGTTGCTATCAAATATATTATCTTGAGGCGGAATAGTTTTTGACTAACCATTTTGTGTGTGTTCTAGGAGAGAAAATGATCATGCACTCCATATGAAGTGAATGCACAGTTTCTGAATGCTGTATGAGCATTGTTTTTAATGTTTGTGTTTTTTGCGTTATACGCCAAACGTACCGTTGTAGAGCATCTCAGCGAACTTGACCCCCAGGCCCTGTTTGATCCTCCTGACCTCTCGGTCCATGGTGAAGGTCTCAATGTCCAGGTGAGCTTGGTACAGGATGGTGCCTCCTGGGGTCTCATAGATACCTGGGGAGCACAGAAACACACACAACTAGGTGAGGAACGAAAGGTGTAGAGACACATTAAGCACATAGGTTGCGTTGCATTTCAAAATAGTCTGAAGTGGCTCCCCCCCCCCCCCCACACCCCAAACAAAATATTTACATATTTTACTTTTAGATGTGTGTATTGTTAGATATTACTGCACTGTTGGAGTTAGGAACACAAGCATTTCGCTACACCCGCAATAACATCTGCTAAATATGTGTATGCGACCAATACAATTTTATTTGAAATTGATCAGAAGAGGTCCCTGTTGGTCCTGTGTCCATGACAACCTCAGTGTACTTCCTTCCAGGACCAACTAAACTCAGACAGCTCTATTAGGCACCAGCCATCTTCACCGTCCTCCTCCTCCACTGTGGCTGACAGACAGGCCAGCACCACAGTATATCACCCCAGTCAGAATGAGCCTGTCGCGGGCAAATGACAGGGTAGGAGGCCCCCGGAGAGAGGGGGGGGATGACAGGAGAAATGAAGCTGTCACTCAGCTGTCTGTCTTATGAGGTCGAGAAGAAAAGAAGAGAAGGCCGAAAAGAGACCAGAGCAGAGCAGAGGAGAGAAGAAGAGATAGTGTTTCTCTGTTCAAATAATTCCATTCAAATACGCTAAACACTGGGCCATCTCTGTTTAATCGACTACGGTTGCGTGTGGGCAGCATTAACAGGATAGATTGAAGGAGGATATTCCTGTGGCGGAAGTCCTTCATCCTTTCCATTCAGTCTCTGGGATTTAAACTCTGCGGATGGGCGTCTTGTGTTGGGACTACAATTCACTGTTAGGAGAAGGGGCACCTTTCTAAGTCCTATACAATTCTTGCCTTAGATGTAGCCTACCTGAAGGTGAGGGGGGGACCCAAACATAATCTGAAAATTGAGAAGCACTTACAAAGCACCGGCTGCCCAAAACAGGACTTAGCAAATCTGCTAATTATCTAAACCTCAAAAAGTGGCAATCTGAGCCACTAAGACAAGTCAACAGTGGGCAAAACAGGGATATTTCAACTGTCACTATCTGATAAAACTGTTAAAACTGCCCTTTAACCTAATTTACTTTAAGCACCCCAAAGATAGATTAGAAAGACAAATGAACAATAAAAGGCTATGTTACCTTTGCTAAATCAACTGTGGCTTCGTTAAGCTTAGGCAGACAAAAACACCAGTGATTTCCAGGTATTAATCTTTTAAACAGTTTATCTGTAGGTAGGCCAACTCTGCTAGAGGGGGTAGAGGGGTTAAGACTAAGCATTAACCCCACCTGGGCTGAGCTGATGCACCCCTTTGGGCGTACAGCCCACGAATGCAGGCATACACACATTAAGCCTGCTTCCTGCTTTGCATTCCTGAGGTTCCTCTGATCAAGAACCAAAACATACAGACTTCAGAATTGTGGTTCTTCAATTCAACTAGGCCTATATTCCTGAAACAAGAAAAGTTGAAGTTGGTCTGATAGCAATCTAAAAAGCCTGAAAAACAACAAGATTCCCCCACCCCCCCATTAATATACCAATCAAACAGGTTAATCATCACTATAAAGTTCTCTACAAATCCTCAGTACAACATGGTTCGTCACATAGTGGAGAGTTCAGAGCTCAGACAAGGGTTGACAGGTGTACACCACTTACATACACCATTGAATGTTTTGCCGAGAACTGACAACATTCTTGACAACCATTTCCATACCCCGCCTTCTTGACCCCACCTCCCCAAGACATACAAATAAATGACACATTCAGTCTGTCAACTCTTCAACCCTCCCTGGCATCTTTTGTGCAATTCCCCCTCCTCCTCACCAACACACAATCTTTACTAGTTATTCACTGCCGTCAAACCTCACACTTCTCTCCCATTTCTGTAGAAAAGATGAGCCTTGATCTTTTGTGCAGCCAAGGGGGAGAAAAGTGGGCTTCCCATTTTTCATTTTCTACCTGCCACTCTACGCCATAGACGGAGTGTGTTGGCGAGTCAATTTGCTGGTCAGGTTATTGTGAGGAGTAGAAATGCAGTGTGGCAGGAGGCCGGGGCCACTGAGGGAGTCAGTGACGTGCTGTCTGACATGGGACATGGTGACCACAAACATCTTGGCCCCTTACGGCCCTTAAGCATGCTGTGGGATACAGGTAGAGCAGAAATAAGGAAGTTTCTGAGAAGTTCTGTTGACGGAGAGAGGGGAATTAGAAGTAATGCGGAGGAGTGGCTGACTGCCGAGATGGAGCGTGTATCTGTGAACAACAGTGTGTGTCTGTGTGTGGGAGGCTGCAAAAAGAGAAATGTGAGGGCAGTCTGCATGTGAAAGTGGGTCACATCAGAAACCTCATTTTACAGGTGAACCAGAGAAACATCTCCTCTGAAAGGAAAGAGACAGGCACATCATTTGTTTGTTCATGGTCATGCTTTTCCTCCACAACACTTTTATGCAAGTGGAATAGCAAGTGTCTCCTTTTAACACTGACATAAAATGACTGCAATTGCCTGAAAGCACTAGATGTCACAGGAAGCTTTACAAATGGATAGGACATGAAAGTGTTGCCACTTATGGTGGAGTAGGTATTGTGTCTTTGTGCTAGCTTATCTATGAATGTATGTATTTGTCCATCTCTATAAAAGATAAGTACATTTTAACCAAAGCTAGTGAGATACAGTATACATTATTTTCAATTCAATACATCTTTATTTATTCTCTCAGGAGCTCTTCTCTTTATACATATAGGCTCTCTCATTACACCTTGTCATTGCCTTACCTCTGGACTTCATGCCGATGAAGCGATTCTCCACGATGTCGATCCTCCCAACTCCATGCTTCCCTCTGAGAGACCACAATGGAAACCACAATGGAAGTCTTACACACCAAGTACAGTAGTCAATATTTCTGTATTTTCGCCAACATACACCCACACTTTGCTCAAAACACAGCAGTAAGGGTTTACACACTGCCCTCTAATGGAGGTTCCATGCAGCCAATAAAGGAATCTCATTCAGTTTGGCTCTCCCTACTGATTGTCCGACTAACCCAATATCATTGACGTAAGAGAAAGTCAGACTCACCCAATCTCATTGAGGTAGGAGAAGATGTCCAGCGGTGTATCCTTGGACTTCCCCTCCTTGACGTGGGTCACCTTGATGGGCACACCTGTATGGGTTGGAATGGAACAGTCAGACACTCAGTTACGGCAACAGCCTGGAGAGATACTGCATCATCATAATACTGTAGGTCATTAAGGCTAACAATACTGTTCTCTTACTGTTTCAGATCTGATCTCATCACATTCAGCTAATTTTGGATTTGGACATGGGCAGTATTTGTGAATCTGGGATGAATCTGACTGAGTCAATATATATGGGCAAAATTGTTATTACATTTCCATTTACACCTATTGTTCACTAAAAATGAACAAAGTGAAGAGACTGATTCCCAGGCACAGTTCACAAGGGAGATGGGAGAGACCATGAAAAGAGTGAGGGAGTAGAGGTTGAGAAAGAGAGATTTGGATGTGGGGGAATGTGGAGGGAGGAGGGAGGATAAGGGGTGTTAATGGTAGAATACTTCAATGGGATGTGGTGTGAAGTACTAATAAATTCAAAAGCCCTGCTCATTTGAAGGCTGTGAAATCACAGACAGGCCTTTCCTAATTGAATTACACACCCGGGCTTTGTGTCACCCATACCTTTTCTACCAATAGTCTCGCACTGCGGTATGAGTGTGTGCGCGCGTTGGAGAGGCATGGGATAATGCATTGACCATTCCTAATAAGCACACATGCCTAGGTGCTCCCCAATCAATCTCCATCCCCAACGTTCTCTACAAAGACTCACTAAACCAAAGGGTCGGACCCCCCTTTGCCTCCAGAACAGCCTGACTTCTTCGGGATTCTCCATGGAAAAGTTACTCAATTGGTATCAAGGGACCTAACGTGTGCCAGGAAAACATTCCTCACACCATTACACCACCAGCCTGTACCGTTGACACCAGGCAGGATGGAGCCACGGACTCACGGTGCTTACGCCAAATCCTGACTCTGCCATCAGTATGATGCAACAGGAACCGGGATTCGTCAGAACAGGCAATGTTTTTCCACTCCTAAATTGTCCAGTGTTGATGATCGGGTGCCCACAGGAGCCACTTCTTCTTGTTTTTTGCTGATAGGAGTATAACCCGGTGTGGTCATCTGCTGCAATAACCCATCCATGACAAAGACTGACGAGATGTGCGTTCCGAGATGTTCTGCACATCACTGTTGTACTGCGCCGTTATTTGCCTGCTTGTGGCCCACCTGTTAGCTTGCACGATTCTTGCCATTCTCCTTCGACCTCTCATCAACCAGCTGTTTTCGCCCACAGGACTGCCGCTGACTGGATGTTTTTTGTTTGTCGCATCATTCTCGGTAAACTCTAGACACTGTTGTGCGTGAAAAGCCCAGGAGGCCGACTGTTTCTGAGATACTGGAACCGGCACACCTGGCACCGACGATCATACCACGCTCAAAGTCGCTTAGGTCACTCGTTTTGCCCATAATAACGTTAAATCGAACAGTAACCGAATGCTTTGGTGCCTGTCTGCCTGCTTTATAGCAATCCACGGCCACGTGACTCACTGTATGTAGCAGCGAACCATCTTCATGAAAGGGGTGGTGTACCTAATAAACTGGCCACTGAGTGTATAAATCACTGTCATTTACTTGCTTATTCATAGTATTCATAGGTTAAAATGAGCAACAGAGAGGCCAAAGGTGGAGGAGGTGCAATAGACTGGGACATGGGCGGGGGAGGGGGCAGGGGCTAAAAGAGCTTTTGAAGACACATGGAGGATAGAAGAAAAAATAAAGAAAAATAAATCTGCTGATAGTCACTCCCCTATCCATCCGGCGCTCATTAGCATTTAGCATGCTTGCAGTTGCCAATCAAGTCCCGGTAAAAAAGCAGCACTCCTGGTTGCCTTTCAATGGGCCCCAATGTAAGCCCTGTTCGAATGACACGTAAAGGACTTGACAAAATATTTTTAGACAAGGGCTTTGTCACTTCGGCCCCTGAGGAAAACTCCCAGAGCCGGAGAGGGCACACGGATAGCGCTCCGACAAAGCCCCCTGATCCCCCAAATAGTTAATAATTAGATTAAAAGTTCAAATAAATTAAGTGAGGGTGTGAATGCGGGAGCAGGGCCGGGCCTCTCGTCCTCCTCTCCTCCATCTCGCGGGGTCTATCATTCACTGGGCCTTTCTTTCCCTCCCCGCCCTTTTCTTCAGCGCTGAAATGAACAGTGCAAACAATGGGACAGCAGACACAGTTGTAGGAAAAATTACTGCTTTAAATTTTTCCTCTCTCTTTTTCCTTTCCCCCTCTTTCAATGAAAGGAAGAGGGATAAGAAAGAAGGGGAAAACTGCTGCTGAAGAAAAAAGTTTCGTTCTTCTTTTTAATCAGTAAGAAAGCCCGGTGAAAAAAGGCTGGTGGGAGATGAAAAGATGGAGAATGAAATGAAACATTCTTGCGCTGATCTTGTGCTTGAGGAGGAGGAGTAAGCTAAAGCCTTTGTGTGAGGCACTAAAACAGCTTTTGTCATAGTCACTCAATAAGGGGAGAGAAAAAAACAATGAAAACTGATTGCAAATGAGCAAAGGGCAGAGGCGAAACCAGGTTATACGATGACATCACAGTTTCAGATTCCCATTACCAGTTACAATTATTATTTTTTTTAAACCTTCCTTCAAATGAGGATTTAACAGTTGTCTATAAACTTTATCATTGCCCCGCTCCCTCCAATTTCACTTATTTTAGATATACATCTCAAATAAACCCCACAAACCTTCAAAGTTGCATAAAACAGCACCCAGATACAAACGTAAATCACAGTTGAAACCTCCTTTCTTTTATATTCCTCTCTGAACTGCTTCAATGTAGTAGTAACGTCATAAAACTGTCACTGGTCATCACCTTGATCAGAGGCTAATGTCCTGCCATGTCTTTTGAAGTCCCAGCGGGCCTCAGTGGCCTGTAGCCCAATCTATACACACAGACACTTGTGACCAGGAGCTAGATTAGAGGGATCTGTGCTTCTAGCCCCAGGCTGGGATGTGTGTCTCTTTTCTGTGACTGTGCAAATGTGACACTTTCCTGGGCCTCCCTCAGTCAGTTGTATTAGCTGGCTTAATGCTTCCGTCCCCTCCATGCCCCCAGGCAGGCTGCTTTAGTTTAGACAGTCTGTTCCAGGGTGTGAGGCTGGGCTGTCCTGGGTCTGGGTGGTCAGAGTGATAAACACAGCCAGGGAGGGCAGGGTAGCACGGGGTCTACAGCAGCCCTGGGGCTGTGGTTAGGCCAAGCCATTGGTGGACAGGACGAACGGACTAACAGGTCAGGACTGGACTTTGAATCATAAACCCTGGCTGAGCTAGAGGACTAAAAAGTCACACTACATGGGATGAGGAGATTCAGACAGACACACACACACGCACCTTTTTTGAACTCGATCTCCAGCACATCTGGGCTGTTGGGGGCGTCCTCTGGGCTCTTGGTCATCAGGTACAGGTCAGCTGGAGCATGGCTCTGTAATATACACACAATGACATTCACATTTCACTGTGACATCTCATGCTCATTATATCACTTAGTATGGGACTAGGAGGAGATTCAGTTGAGAACATAGCAGACATACAATGAGGGAAAAAAGTATTTGATCCCCTGCTGATTTTGTACGTTTGCCCACTGACAAAGAAATGATCAGTCTATAATTTTAATGGTAGGTTTATTTGAACAGTGAGAGACAGAATAACAACAACAAAATCCAGAAAAACGAATGGCAAAAATGTTAGAAATTGATTTGCATTTTAATGAGGGAAATAAGTATTTGACCCCTCTGCAAAACATGACTTAGTATTTGGTGGCAAAACCCTTGTTGGCAATCACAGAGGTCAGACGTTTCTTGTAGTTGGCCACCAGGTTTGCACACATCTCAGGAGGGATTTTGTCCCACTCCTCTTTGCAGATCTTCTCCAAGTCATTAAGGTTTCGAGGCTGACGTTTGGCAACTCCAACCTTCAGCTCCCTCCACAGATATTCTATGGGATTAAGGTCTGGAGACTGGCTAGGCCACTCCAGGACCTTAATGTGCTTCTTCTTGAGCCACTCCTTTGTTGCCTTGGCCGTGTGTTTTGGGTCATTGTCATGCTGGAATACCCATCCACAACCCATTTTCAATGCCCTGGCTGAGGAAGGAGGTTCTCACCCAAGATTTGACGGTACATGGCCCCATCCATCGTCCCTTTGATGCGGTGAAGTTGTCCTGTCCCCTTAGCAGAAAAACACCCCCAAAGTATAATGTTTCCACCTCCATGTTTGACGGTGGGGATGGTGTTCTTGGGGTCATAGGCAGCATTCCTCCTCCTCCAAACACGGCGAGTTGAGTTGATGCCAAAGAGCTCGATTTTGGTCTCATCTGACCACAACACTTTCACCCAGTTCTCCTCTGAATCATTCAGATGTTCATTGGCAAACTTCAGACGGGCCTGTATATGTGCTTTCTTGAGCAGGGGGACCTTGCGGGCGCTACAGGATTTCAGTCCTTCACGGCGTAGTGTGTTACCAATTGTTTTCTTGGTGACTATGGTCCCAGCTGCCTTGAGATCATTGACAAGATCCTCCCGTGTAGTTCTGGGCTGATTCCTCACCGTTCTCATGATCATTACAACTCCACGAGGTGAGATCTTGCATGGAGCCCCAGGCCGAGGGAGATTGACAGTTATTTTGTGTTTCTTCCATTTGCGAATAATCGCACCAACTGTTGTCACCTTCTCACCAAGCTGTTGGCGATGGTCTTGTAGCCCATTCCAGTCCCTGACATCCTTGGAGAGCTCTTTGGTCTTGGTCATGGTGGAGAGTTTGGAACTAAAATGTAAATGTACTGTGGGCCTAAATATAATAGGAGGGGGGCTGGGATGATGCGTGAAAAAAAGAACCTTCAAAAGCTGTCAGGATCTGAGAGAAAAAGACAAAAATCAATGTCCTATTTATCTCCTCTATTTGGTTTCATTTTCCCTGCTTGGCCTTTCACCACAGAGGGGAGGGTGGAGAGAAGTGGAAGAGAGAGAGAGAGAGAGAGAGAGAGAGACAAAGAGAGAAAGTGAGGCAGACCCCAATCCACTAAAAGAAGACACTTCATAAGTCAAAACACAACTGATACTATGACAGGATGTACTCAAGCGACTGCCACACAATATTCACCGGCTGTTTGGAAAGGCGCAAGCAAATCTCCCAATTCTGCCATCCAGCCTCCCCTCCCCATAAGCTTTTCCACATCTTCTGGACTTGACTTTGACTGACATTTTCTCCTTTATTTATTTTCAGATGAAGAATTCATCTTTCTGGGAACCACACAACAACAACCTACCCCTCCTATCCTGAGAGCCATATGAAGTTGTAGGAGGCGAGACAGACGTTTGTTGTTTTCCAGTTGGGGGGAGTTGGTTGTTGAATAATCGGGCTGACACCCCTGCCAATTACCTCACATTACAACCAGACGATGGCCAATGTCCCCTGAGCTGAGGCAAATTGCAGGGGAACTATGCAAAATAACCACTGGGTGCATTTAAATGAAAACCTTTACCAGACGAAAAAAATCATCATACGATAACTAATCTCTCTCAGCCGCAGAGAGATTGCTCACGTCAGGGAACGAGTGCAATCGCTTCTTTCCTTTTAACTAAACACCAACATTGACTTTGAAGGCTCCCGTCTCTCCCTTTTAATTTTCTGCCTCAGCGCCCAAGACGACAAACGAGAGGAAGGAGGAGTGGGGCAAAATGACTCCCCTAAAAACCCATTTGATGCATACTATTAAAGGGGACAGAACTGAGGAAGATGGCGTGATTTCATTTGAACAACAGAAGACTGAGTAGGCCTTGCTCTGTGAATCTGGGTATGGTTGAGTGGTTACTATAGTGTTCTACAGAGTTGCCTTACCTACTACAGTGGTTTAAAGCCTACACAATCCTAACCAATGAAGATGCATTGTTTCTGCCGGCAAGAGTTCACTATATGATAAAGCTGTTATCCTTCTTACCTCTACACAGACACAACATCACATGGAAATACATGGAATATCAATTCAAACATGTATGCTCACGAGACGCGAGTGAATGAAAGTGAGAGAGAGAGAAATGGAAAGAGCGAGGGAATCGTTTCCAGTACTTAAAGATCAATGCATTTCAATTCCAGCCCCCCGCAGGTGGACCTGTCCCAAAGCCCCTGGCCCTGAAAGAGAGGAAAATATAGAAATGGAGCGAGAGAAAGAGAGAGCAATGCTATCAAATGGGGCGTGAAGCTCAGCCATCATGTCGCTGTGCATAGCTCCCTTTTGCAGCCATTCTCCAGTTCTGCCATATTGTGGTGCTGCTGTGGTCCCACTCAATGCGGCCCCTAGAAAGAGGGCTGTGGCTGCATGAACTTAAAGTGAGTAAATTTCTATCTTTCCACACGTTAGCTGCCTCATTGCCTTTCAATCGAGTCCGGTGGCATCCAAAGAAAAAGGCAAAGGAGGGGAGAGAGAGGGGAAAGGAGGATGGAAAAAAAACCTCTGGCCCACTGGTTTGGAACTGACACTTAAATCACCACGTCTAAAGTCTGGCCTTGTCTTTAAAATGCCATTTGCAAACATGGCACATTGAGAATGTATTACAAGTGATTTGTGTGGACCATTTTTTTATGTTTAACACCCAGCTACATTTGGTTAACATTATCATTGGCCTTATCATGGGGCGGCAGGTAGCCTAGCGGTTAGAGAGGCTTGCCAGTTCAAATCCCGGATCCGACGGGAAAAATCTGTCGGGAAGTGAGCTGACAACTGGAGGGTTGCTGTATCAAATCTTAGACGCCATTGCCTGCAGTTGTGCCCTTGAGCAAGGCACTTAAACCCTCACAACAACAGCTCCCCAGGCATCCAGTGTGGCAGCCCCCGCACCTCTCCAAAATCTGTGTGTGTATGTGTGCATTTCAGGGGGGTTGGAAGCAGAAGTCAAATTTGGGTTGAAACTTGTGTGCAATTGACCAATAAAGCGATCTTAACCTTTGTCTACAGTATCTACCAACAGCTTTGCCTAAAAGGCAATACTAGTAACAAGCACAAACTATAAGATAGCAACTTAAACGTAGAGATGAATTGATTGACAGAGAGCTCTATCATAGGTCAGACCCATCCATCTGACCAAGGGGCGAGAAGGTTGCATGACAAATCTAACCCTCTGTGCTTGAAAAGACACCCACACACACCATCCAAGGCATCCTTCCCCCTAGGCAGCTGCGCCATGGGCCGGGTCATCCCCAAACTAACAGAAAACAAGTTTCATTTCCTGTCTGTTCCGCTACTACCTCTTTAGTCAATACCAGTGGGCCCTGGGCCTGATCAAAGGGGCTCAGGGTTTCCCACACAACATCGTTGGCCTTCACTCCTACTGGGCTACTGGGCCAGGGGAAGTCCAGCCACAGCCAGGGACTATCATTTAGACAGAGGTGATGTTTTAATGACTGCTGACGAGTGTCACACTGCCCCAGGGACCTGGCCCCTGACCGGTCAACTGACCACACAGAGGATATTGGGTTGTGTTTCAGGACAACTAGCTAGCCTTCTCAAGTTAAATAGCTTCACATTATTTATACAAGTATGATCAGATCAGCTAAAACATGTTATCAATAAGGCAAATGATAGATATGTTACATAGGGTTTAAACTTACAGAGTTGAAATGCTTGCCCTTAAATTGCAATGTGTTTAAAGAAAATACATCATCAAAATTCCATAATTCATAGAAACTTCAATCCACCGGTTGCTCCTAATCCAGTAAAACTAGCTAGAAGAACAATGTAAAATGTGAGCGGATAAAGACAATGTAGTCTAGTGGTGTAGCTAAAGGCTAACCTCTGGGGTAATGGGAGAGAATCCAGCTAGTGGTAATAATCACAGTGCAACCTGACCCTGGCTGCCTTATCTCAGAAGGAACATATGAGCGACCATTTGGACATTTCCTAATCTGTGTGTGGGGAGAGTGGAGCCATTGTGTTTACAGGTGGGCGGAGAGGCACTGTGAATGGAGGGAGTCTGCTCAGGCCTTGGGGGGTAACTGGACTCCTAGGAGGCAGATGCACAGTTGAGAACTAGAAGGTTGCGATTACCTTTTCAATATCTACTCACTGACTGTCATGTTTGAGTGCTTATGTTGATAAGAGGTTAATAATTACATAGTACAGTGATGTAGTATTACATCAGTGTTTTACATTCAATTTACAGTAAGGTTTCTTAGAAGCCTGAAAAGGTTTTAAATTGAGGCACAAATCAAAAGTAAAATGTTTAAAGTAGACTTAGAAAAATGGTATTATCTAAAATAACTATGGGAGCAGAAACTGAGCAAAAAACAGAATTATTACAGTTTGTTCAATCTTAAATGGATCATAACACGCCCCGAGTAATGTATTCAAATCCCTTTTATCACTTGTATCTCCTCCACCATAAATATTTAATCGTATTTAATTCCATTGATAAATTCATTGTGAAAGTAAAATGGGACTAAAACCATGAATTAAATCAATTACACAATACTGTCATACTACACATCGCTATGCTATTGAGTTGTTTCTTTTCAGGATGAATTTCTCCACAGGGCGAGCAGCGGAGAGAGAAAAGCCTGCGTTATAGTTCTGCCCCTGCACCGCCAATCCAAAAGCGGGGGACCCCTCGCCTCCCTGACACCCATCTCATCTGTCTGCCCGCCTTTGTACTTTACTGTTACTGGTGACATTCTGGTGTCACGGTGAAATGGGTCCCTCCCACGTTGCAGCCTGCGGCGGCGCAACCAGAAACAATGGTCCCCCAAGGAGGCCCAGCTGGGCACGCTGCCCTAACCCTTCCCCCGGCTCCCATGAAATCGGGAATTATGCGAGCCGTTTCTGATGACAAGTCAGTGTCTGTGTGTCCAAGGCTCTTCCCAGGCTCGGCAAGGTTTAGGGTGAGAGGAGACAACAAGGAGGGATGAGGTTTGAGTCGTCAAGGGTGACCTTTGTGTACAGCCTTGACCTCTGACCCCTGAAGAGATCAAACTATCTCTGTCTCACTGTGGGCTCAGGGTTTGGTTTGTCTGTGCTGGAGCCAATATAAGAGATGGGGGACGACGACAACTCTGCGCTCTCCACTGTGTTAACTTTATCTTAATACACTCTCCAATCTAGGGTTGCAAAATTCCAGTAACTTTCCCAATTTCCCAGGTTTTCCAGAAATCCTGGTTGGAGGTTATCATGGAATCAGGAGGGAATAAGCAGGAAATCAGTGAGTCCCCAAACCGGGATTTCTGGAAAACCTTGGAATTTTGGGAAAGTTAGCGGAATTTCACAACTCTGCTCCTATCAGCTATTGCTTTGTACATATTACAACACAATAATCTATACTGTAAAAAAAAGAGAAAAGGTGAAACAGGGATAATCTATAAACTACCAGGCAGGTTGACTATGGAGAGAAATGTTGAATATGAGTAGGTGGACAAAGGATGTGATAGATACTGTATGGTCAATGAAATGGAACCTAGACAGAATGTGAACTCTTGAGGAGTTTCCTGTTGTGATTCAGAGACAGCAGGAGGTGAGAGTAACAACCTGTTGAATCTGGCACTGGGACGAATGGTGAGATGTTAGGTTAAGGTGCCATCATTGTCCTAATTGATTCCTCAGCCTGCTCATGCATGCATTATTCACCAATGTGTTGGGTGTTAGGTTTCTGACACTGTAGCAGGAACAAGATCTTACCTTGGGATTTTCCAGTATTCCAGACTCGTAGCTGTTGAAACAGACAATGAGAAGGTATGTTGGTGAACACATTCATTCCCTTTGTCATTCTACAGCAGTGTTCGCAACTCCGGTCCTCGAGTACTCCCAACAGTATATGTTTTTGTTGTGGACCCGGATAAGCACACTTAATTCTACTTTTCAACTAATCATCAAGCCCTTGACAAGTTGAATCAGGCCTTATTGTCCGGGGAGACAACAAAAATGTGTGGCGTTGGGGGTAATCGAGGAACGGAGGTGGGATGCACTGCTCTACAGGATATAGCTAATGTGGGAGACAAATGACCAAAAAGGGCCAATAGCGCCTTAAAGTTACTAACTTTTTTTGTAGAAGAATGTAAAACTTTATTTTCTTCAACCTTAATTTAACCAGGAAGTATTGTGAGCATCATTGGTGTTTTTCTCACCTGATGTGCATGAGGTTGGCATCCATGCTCCAGGGTGCTTTAGGGGTGACGGGTACAGGGATGCCATGTTTCTGGGGGTGATGGAAAGGTCAGAGAAGAGTCAATGACAACATTGAACAGATAGGGGAATATTAACCTAGCCCGCTCTGAGCAATACATGTTTATCTGCTAAGTTCTGAACAGTTAAACCAATCATATCACCTCCAACTGTTCTTTAACAATTGTGATTGTTGATTTGACTTAAAATCTGGTCATTCCGTTATTTATTTGAGTTCAACGTTGTATAATAAAATAATGGGAAGGGAGAAAAGCTTGATAAAGTGGTGCACACAGGGGACTTTCAGCTCACTAAAAGGCCATGATCCCCCTCTAGTGGGCAGGGTGGAGAACACCACCTCAAAGACAAACACCGCCAGGCAACATGTTATGAAGACAACCTATCATAGACTCACTGCCAGGCAACATGTGTATTAGGGGTGTGAACGTTTAAATGACATTGGGATCTTACTTTTTTTTTACAAAAATCCCTAGCAGTTTTTTTTCCAAAGCTACAATATGTAATTTTTTGGGCAAGCCAACAAAATGCACATAGAAATGGGAGTTATAGGTCTTTCATTCTCAATGAAATCAAGTCTATGTGCGCTATTTCTATGCTTCACATTTTAAGTTTCTTTCTTGCATCTTTTACTTTCACTTTTGTACACCAGTGTCAAACAGGTTTAAACACAATATTTTGGGTTATGCAAAAAAATATTTCACAGCGGTTTAGATGGTACAATGATTCACTACACCAGCATTTCCCAAACTCGGTCCTCGGGACCCCAAGGTGTGCACGTTTTGGTTTTTGCCCTAACACTACACAGCGGATTCAAATGATCAAAGCTTGATGATTAGTTGATTATTTGAATCAGCTGTGTAGTGCTAGGGCAAAAACCCAAACATACACCCCTTCAGGTCTCGAGGACTGAGTTTGGGAAACCCTGCTCTACACTATATTTGCTTGTTTTGTCACTTAAACTGAAATTAGGCGAACTACTCGAATTTTAGCAACCAGGAAATGGCGGAGCAATTTCTGCATAGTGCATCTTTAACAAAATTGAAATCACAGTGCAGTTATCACAGAGAACTACCACTAACAGGTCCCGATCATCATTATAAAAAGGAAAACATAACAATTTAACAAATGCCTAATGCAACGATGCTGTAACATTTGTTGGAGGATATATGCATCTTTCAAATGATTTGCCACGGATATGATGCGCTCAGCACGTCATCGTTGTTAACAGTTGGGAAAGTGGCAGAGAGTGAGACAGGGAAGCGACAGCAGCGAAGCCCTGTATGGCAACACTTTGAGAAGTTTAATGAGGTGGTAAAATAAATGCAAATAAATGTGAGGTGGAATTGAGCTACAGTGGCAGTACAGGTGCAACGCTTAACCATCTGAAAGGGAGGCATCGTGAGACCCAAGCCGTTGCTGGCAGCAGTGCGATAAGGAACAGTGAGAAAATCACAGCGCTGATTACAGAAATGATTGCAGTTGATATGCAGCCATTGTCAATGGTAGAAGATGTTGGCTTCAATGCACTGATGGCATATCTAGAACCAGACTACAAGATGCCAAGTCAAAAAAACGTGATGGCCCGGATGGAGAAATTGTACGATTGCTCTGCAAGTACAAAGCGCGAGCATTCAAACACCATACGTGGCGTTAACAACAGATTGTTGGATGTCTATGAACACGCTGTCACACATCACTGCAGCGAGCCAACACATTGATGAGAAGTGGGACATGAAGTCCCATGTACTGACAACTGAGAACATGGAGGAGAGGGACACAGCAGACAACCTAAAATGGCATTAACTACCGTCAACGTTGAGTGGGTGGGGGACAGCAGTAAGGTGAGCGCGGTCTGCTAGGTAGCCAGGACTACGGTAAATTGAACGGCATTGCCCCCTAGCGGTCACACACAGGACCATAGGTGAATTGTGAATTCACGTCATTTTATGATTTTCTGTCTTATTTAAACATTTTTTTAAATGGCAGTTTAAACTATAAAATGTTTACATTTGTCACATCCCTAATGTGTATGAAGAGATCCTATCACACACTCACTGCCAGGCAACATGTTATGAAGTGATCCTATCATGTGGAAGTGTTACCTCGGCATACTCCATCAGATCCTTCCTCCCACGGAAGCGATTGTAGAACTCAGGGATTCTCCATGGAGCAATAATCTGAGCGGGAGACAGAGAGAGGAGGGAGGGTAATGCATGTACTTTGTATGGCGCATTATCTGAAGTAATATTGGATGATGGGACAGTCATGTAGTGTAGTTACAGATGTGTTAATGCAGAGGAACTGTGGAAGACAGAACTCACCTCAACCTCAGGGTAGAGGGCATAGCAGGTGAGCTCGAATCGGATCTGATCGTTGCCCTGAAAGCAACAGTTAACCATTCAGCCACAAAACCCTAGTAACATGTCCAGAAACAATCTGAAAACTACTAGCAAAGACAGAGATAATCAAGCAGGTAATTTCTCACTCACCCAAGACAAGGTAAGGTTAAAATCACTTCCAATGGTAGTTGAAAAAGCATATAAACTGATATAAACTTTCAGTGAGAGACTTCTTGCAGTTACTGTTGGTTGAAGGCTCATTTCAGTGGCATTTGTCTCCATCAACAGTTGGAGCAGGGACACTACATTTCCCCACAGTTCAGTCTCCCCACAGTATCGTTCACTTGTGGCTGACTAATGAATGCCATTGTGGTAGCTGAGGGCTATTTGAATGTGACCTTTCCACTCACTCCAAAAGCTAATTGGGAAACCATTTAGATTTCTACAAACAGACAAACATCTAAAATGAACCTTGACAGATGTCAACAATATGCTAATGGTTCCATGTAGCCTTCCGGGTTCTTCTCTGCTCTCCCCTTGTTGATTGACCCCTCACCTTTCCCGTGGCACCATGGGAGACGTACTGGGCACCCTCCTGGCGTGCGATCTGGATCTGGCGGCGGGCGATGCAGGGCCGGGCCACTGAAGTGCCCAGCAGGTAGCGGTCCTCGTAGATGGCGTTGGCCTGGACCGACGGCCAGATGAAGTCCTCCACAAACTCTGCCCTCAGGTCCTCGATGAACACCTACAGTGAGGGAAAAAAGTATTTGATTGAAGAACAATGGGAAAGTAATTCTGCTTTGAAAGTTGATAAACTTGTAACCTCACTTTTGAGAAAATGGCCTTTGAATGTTTTGGTACACCTACTGGAGAGCTCTTCTGTGTCTACACCCATTCAGCATCGTTCACACCCTCTTAAGCCCCACCCATCTCTTTAAGGATTCATATTTGAGTCCATGTACAGTGAGGGAAAAAAGTATTTGATCCCCTGCTGATTTTGTACGTTTGCCCACTGACAAAGAAATGATCAGTCTATCATTTTAATGGTAGGTTTATTTGAACAGTGAGAGACAGAATAACAACAAAAAAATCCAGAAATACGCATGTCAAAAATGTTATAAATTGATTTGCATTTTAATGAGGGAAATAAGTATTTGACCCCCCTCTCAATCAGAAAGATTTTTGGCTCCCATGTGTCTTTTTATACAGGTAACGAGCTGAGATTAGGAGCACACTCTTAATTTTCAGTTTGTTACCTGTATAAAAGACACCTGTCCACAGAAGCAATCAATCAATCAGATTCCAAACTCTCCACCATGGCCAAGACCAAAGAGCTCTCCAAGGATGTCAGGGACAAGATTGTAGACCTACACAAGGCTGGAATGGGCTACAAGACCATCGCCAAGCAGCTTGGTGAGAAGGTGACAACAGTTGGTGCGATTATTCGCAAATGGAAGAAACACAAAATAACTGTCAATCTCCCTCTGCCTGGGGCTCCATGCAAGATCTCACCTCGTGGAGTTGCAATGATCATGAGAACAGTGAGGAATCAGCCCAGAACTACACGGGAGGATCTTGTCAATGATTTCAAGGCAGCTGGGACCATAGTCACCAAGAAAACAATTGGTAACACACTACGCCGTGAAGGACTGAAATCCTGCAGCGCCCGCAAGGTCCCCCTGCTCAAGAAAGCACATATACAGGCCCGTCTGAAGTTTGCCAATGAACATCTGAATGATTCAGAGGAGAACTGGGTGAAAGTATTGTGGTCAGATGAGACCAAAATCGAGCTCTTTGGCATCAACTCAACTCGCCGTGTTTGGAGGAGGAGGAATGCTGCCTATGACCCCAAGAACACCATCCCCACTGTCAAACATGGAGGTGGAAACATTATGCTTTGGGGGTGTTTTTCTGCTAAGGGGACAGGACAACTTCACCGCATCAAAGGGACGATGGACGGGGCCATGTACCATCAAATCTTGGGTGAGAACCTCCTTCCCTCAGCCAGGGCATTGAAAATGGGTCGTGGATGGGTATTCCAGCATGACAATGACCCAAAACACACGGCCAAGGCAACAAAGGAGTGGCTCAAGAAGAAGCACATTAAGGTCCTGGAGTGGCCTAGCCAGTCTCCAGACCTTAATCCCATAGAAAATCTGTGGAGGGAGCTGAAGGTTTGAGTTGCCAAACGTCAGCCTCGAAACCTTAATGACTTGGAGAAGATCTGCAAAGAGGAGTGGGACAAAATCCCTCCTGAGATGTGTGCAAACCTGGTGGCCAACTACAATAAACGTCTGACCTCTGTGATTGCCAACAAGGGTTTTGCCACCAAGTACTAAGTCATGTTTTGCAGAGGGGTCAAATACTTATTTGCCTCATTAAAATGCAAATCAATTTATAACATTTTTGACATGCGTTTTTCTGGAATTTCTTGTTGTTATTCTGTCTCTCACTGTTCAAATAAACCTACCATTAAAATTATAGACTGATCATGTCTTTGTCAGTGGGCAAACATACAAAATCAGCAGTGGAACACATACTTTTTTCCCTCACTGTTTACATGGAGGGAGGTTACACTTGAACCATTCATATTAAAGCTTACATCAACAATATTTCACTAAATGCTCCCTTGACAATCCTAATACACAAGCAATGTCAGTTAGTTCACTTGTAATGGCTTTGCTTTGTGTTGACAAACTTTTGCTTCCAAATCTTAAATGGCAAGAGAAAGGCAGAAAGAGTGAGGACCTGCTATGTTAGCTGCTAAGAAGACGACAACCCAGATGTCATATCCTCACATAATACGTAATACGATTTGCCTGCATAATCATTTCCTATAACTCTGTGACCCAGATGTCAGGACACATAATTCTAGACCTCAGGGAGTGACAATCCAACCTTGAACTGACTCAAGCTGCTCAACATCACTCTGTACCCAAAGTATCAAATGTCTCACTGTTCTCACTGTTCAATTGAAAGATATCAGTTTCATATCAACCAGCGTCTGTAATGATGCATACATACAGTACCGTGAAATTACTTGCACCCTTCCTAATTTTCTATACTTTAGCATATTTTTTTATACTGAATGTTAACAGATCTTCAACCAAAGCCTAATATTAGATAAAGGGAACCTGAGTGAACAAATAACACAATAAGTACATACTTAATTCATAAACAAAGTTAGGCAACACCCAATGTCCCTGTGTGAAAAAGTAATTATCCCTTTACACTCAATAACTGGTTCTGCCACCTTTAACCGCAATGACTTCAACCAAACGCTTCCTGTAGTTGTTGATCAGTCTCTCACGTCGCTGTGGAGGAATTTTGGCTCACTTCCAAGCAGAACTGCTGTAAATCAGCAATTTTTTGGGTTTTCAAGCATGAACTGCTCGTTTCAAGTCCTGCCACAACATCTTAATTGGGATTAGGTCTGGACTTTGACTAGGCCATTCCAAAACTTCCAATTTGTTGCTTTTTTTCCCATTTTCATTTAGACTTGATTGTGCATTTTGGATCATTGTCTTGCTGCATGACCCAGCTGCGCTTCAGCTCACAGATGGATGGCCTGACATTCTCCTGTAGAATTCTCTGATACAGAGCAGAATTCATGGTTCCTTCTATTAAGGCAAGTCGTCCAGGTCCTGAGGCAGCAAAGCATCCCCAAACCATCACAATACCACCACCATGCTTGACCGTTGATATAAAGTTCTTACTGTGGAATGCAGTGTTTGGTTTTCGCCAGGCATGAAGGGACCCATGTTGTCCAAAAAGTTATAATTTTGAATCTGTCCATAGAACATTCTTCCAAGAGTCTTGATGATCATCCAGGTGCTTTTTGGCAAACATCAGTCAACCTTTTGGATGACATGGGTCCCATTATTCCTGGCGAAAACCAAACACTGCATTCCACAGTAAGAACCTTGTACCAATGGTCCAGACCTAATCCCAATTGAGATGTTGTGGCAGGACTTGAAACAAGCAGTTCATGCTTTAAAACTCACAAATGTCGCTGAGTTAAAGCAGTTCTGCACGCAAGAGTGGGCCAAAATTCGCTGCGCCTTTTTCCCCATTTTTCGACCCTGCGGCTTATATAACGGTGCGGCTAATCTATGGATTTTTACAGCTAACGGCCACTAGAAGACCTCCTAAATCTATGGATTTTACAGGTTACAGTCCACCAACTTGAACTCTATGGGCTCTATGACCGGTCCGCGCCCCCCACCTTTAAGCGGCGGGCTCCAGCAGGAAAAGCTGGAGGCCGGAAAAGAGTGAGACAGGTAGCGCGCAAAAGTAAAAGTGGAACCGAGAGTGGTACGAGAGACAGAACGAGAGACAGAACGAGAGCAAGACAGACAGACATTACGAGAGCGAGACAGTTTGTCTCTTTCCCGACAATCCCCTCTGTGCACGAACCCTTACATATGGTAATTAAACATTAAAACACCTGCGGCTTATAGTCCAGTGCGGCTTATATATGTACACATCATTCAATATCATTCAATTTAGCTGCTGCGGCTTATACTCCGGTGCGCCTTATAGTGCGGAAAATACGGTAATCAACAACTACAGGAAGCATTTGGTTGCAGTCATTGCAGCTAAAGGTGGCACAACCAGTTTAAGGGGGCAAATACTTTTTCACACAGGGGAATTGGGTGTTGCATAACTTTGTTAATTAAATCAATAAAATAACTTTAAAAAAAATTATATATATATATATATATATATATATATATATATATATATATACACACATATACATATATATATACACATATACATACATACACACACACACTACCGTTCAAAAGTTTGGGGTCACTTAGAAATGTCCCTGTTTTCAAAAGAAAAGCAATTTTGTTGTCCATTAAAATATCAAATTGATCAGAAATACAGTGTACATTGTTAATGTTGCAAATGGCTATTGTAGCTGGAAACGGCTGATTTTTTATGGAATAGGTGTACAGAGGCCCATTATCAGCAACCATCAGTCCTGTGCTCCAATGGCACGTTGTGTTTGCTAATCCAAGTTTATCATTTTAAAAGGCTAATTGATCATTAGAAAACCCTTTTGCAATTATGTTAGCACAGCTGAAAACTGTTGTGCTGATTAAAGAAACAATAAAACTGGCCTTATTGAGACTAGTTGAGTATCTGGAGCATCAGCAATTGTGGGTTCGATTACAGAATCAAAATGGCCAGAAACAAATAACTTTCTTCTGAAATTCATCAGTCTATTCTTGTTCTGAGAAATGAAGGCTATTCCATGCGAGAAATTGCCAAGAAACTGAAGATCTCGTACAACGCTGTGTACTACTCCCTTCACAGAACAGCGCAAACTGGCTCTAACCAGAATAGAAAGAGGAGTGGGAGGCCAAATACATTAGTGTCTAGTTTGAGAAACAGATGCCTCACAGGTCCTCAACTGGCACCTTCATTAAATAGTACCCGCAAACACCAGTCTCAACGCCAACAGTGAAGAGGCGACTCCGGGATGCTGACCTTCTAGGCAGAGTTGCAAAGAAAAAGCCATATCTCAGACTGGCCAATAAAAAGAAAAGATTAAGATGGGCAAAAGAACACAGACACTGGACAGAGGAAGATTGGAAAAAGGTGTTATGGACAGACGAATCGAAGTCTGAGGGGTTCGGATCACAAAGAAGAACATTTGTGAGACGCAGACCAAATGGAAATATGCTGGAGGAGTGCTTGATGCCATCTGTCAAGCATGGTGGAGGCAATGTGATGTCTGGGGGTGCTTTGGTGGTGGTAAAGTGGGAGATTTGTACAGGGTAAAAGGGATCTTGAAGAAGGAAGGCTATCACTCCATTTTGCAACGCCATGCCATACCCTGTGGACGGCGCTTGATTGGAGCCAATTTCCTCCTACAACAGGGCAATGACCCAAAGCACAGCTCCAAACTATGCAAGAACTATTTAAGGAAGAAGCAGTCAGCTGGTATTCTGTCTATAATGGAGTGGCCAGCACAGTCACCGGATCTCAACCCTATTGAGCTGTTGTGGGAGCAGCTTGACCGTATGGTACGTAAGAAGTGCCCATCAAGCCAATCCAACTTGTGGGAGGTGCTTCAGGAAGCATGGGGTGAAACCTCTTCGGATTACCTCAACAAATTGACATCTAGAATGCCAAAGGTCTACAAGGCTGTAATTGCTGCAAATGGAGGATTCTTTGACGAAAGCAAAGTTTGAAGGATACAATTATTCTTTCTATTAAAAGTCATTATTTCTAACCTTGTCAATGACTACATTTCCTATGCATTTTGCTATATTTCCTATTGAAACTAATTTCATGTATGTCAGGGTTCTTCAATTCCGGTCCTGGAGGGCCAAAACACTTCTGTTTTTTATTTCTACCTGGTAGTTAATTGCACTCACCTGGTGTCCCAGGTCTGAATTAGCCCCTGATTAGAAGGAGAGGATGAAAAACAGAGGTGTTTCGGCCCTCCAGGACCGGAATTGAAGAACCCTGATGTATGTTTTCATGGAAAACAAGGCCATTTCTAAGTGACCCCAAACTTTTGAACGGTAGTGTATATATATTTGTTATTTGTAAATTCAGGTTCCCTTCATCTAATATTAGGTTTTGGTTGAAGATCTGATAACATTCAGTATCAAAAATATGCAAAAATAGAGATAATCAGAAAAGGGCAAATATTTTTCACGGCACTGTATGTAATTCAGAATGACTAATCTTGAGACTCAGAAGAAGAATTTGCTCCTTTTAGCCATGTTTTATTTTAGCCACCATGCTATTGGCCTTGGCTTTTTAGCCTCTGGTACTATTAGCCTATGTATTTCTTGTTTATATTTTTTGTGTATATGTATTGTATTCGCAAGAGATTCTACTACACTGTTACTTCAACCAGATCCTGGACCTCCTCTTTTACCTTTTCAAAGTCAACTTTGCTATTGCAAAATGTGGTCTACCGTGTCCTCCACACCACTATGCTACCTTGTCTTACCAATGTCATGACGCTTAGACTCAGCTTTTTACCTTCTTTGCTCCAAGACTCTCTGCTTTCTTCTTTGCAGCATCAAAGTCCTCTTCTTGTCCAATATTGGCCTGCAAGAGAGTTTTAGTTACATCTAATCAACTGGTGCCTAAAATAGCATACTACAGCAGTGTTTCAGTGAAAATGTTTCATGTTCTCCAAACTTCATTAGCATGTTTATTATGAGAGCACTTAGTCAGAAAATCATCAGAACCCTGGTTGCCATGAAAACATGCTAATGAACCATACCTTGTCATGGCCTCAATCGAAAGCAAACCCTGTCAACATCCCAAGAGCCTGTTGTCAAGAGCCATGAACCAGCTATGCACCAAAATGCATCCGTAATACCAATTACCAGTAAGGTGTTAAGTGCTCTTGGCATGAAAGCAAACCAAAAACGCCATCTGTGCAACACAGCTTCGCACGGAAACGTAATGAGATGGTTCATAATTCATTTCCTGTCTCCTCCAAACAATTTCCTGTGGCCTTTGCTTCTTTGGGCAAAAGTCCATCCCCCGCCCCCTCTACTCCGTGACCTGGAAACTAATAAGTGGTCATCCAAAACGGAAGACGGTCCTACCCTCATCGATAGCCCCCTTTTGGCGAGGAAGCACAAGTGTATCCTAACCGAGTCCTCTGCGGAAGATTGTTTTGAATTCTGCCATACCCTCTTTGAATCAGCTATTGTTTTCTGGAAGGAGAAAAGCATGCAAACATTTAAAAACAATATGCTACTTATCCTTTTATCTATAGAATGTCTTGCACAATTAGCTAAATTAGTTTTTGATCACTTTATACATTTATTTTGGGATTCCAAGCATAATTTGGTCCACTTTCCCTCTCCTCGATTACCTTTGACCTTTTTCAAAAGGAGGCCAGAGAGGACGGAGGAGAGAGGACGTAGGAGTTGAGCAAATCTAATTGAAAAAAGGCACGTCTTCATCCCCGGTCCTTCTCGCCAGGGACCAAAGCCATTGCTTGTCACGGATTGGCTGCTGAAGTCCCATTGCCCACCATTTTAACATTCAGGTCACATCCATGACCTGATAACACCGACATGCTTCCGCACAGTCTAGCAGTGCACTGCTGCTCCATGAATATAATAGAGGGATTTATTCACAGATTGTTGATTAACCATGTCTTTTTCCTTTTGAACGGTAACTCATAAACTAAGACTTAACAAAACCCAGCTCAGAGGGGAAAATCAGGTGTGGAGTGAGCCGGCAACCGGAGGGTTTCTGACATCAACTTACAGTGCCTTCAGAAAGTATTCAGACCCCTTGACCTTTTCCACATTTTGTGCGTTACAACCTTAATCTAAAATGGATTAAATAAATACAAATCCTCAGCAATCTACACACAATACCGCATAATGAAAAAGCGAAAAAAATGGTTATAAATTTTAGCAAATGTATTAAAATAATAAAAAATTATAAACCTTATTTACATAAGTATTCAGACCCTTTGCGATGAGTCTCGAAATTGAGCTCAGGTGCATTCTGTTTCCATTGATCATCCTTGAGATGTTTCTACAACTTGATTGGAGTCCACCTGTGGTAAATTCAATTGATTGGACATGATTTGGAAAGGCACACATCTGTCTATATAAGGTCCCACAGTTGACAGTGCATGTCAGAGCAAAAACCAAGCCATGAGGTCGAAGGAATTGTCCATAGAGCTCCGAGACACGATTGTGTCGAGGCACAGATCTGGGGAAGGGTATCAAAAAATGTCTGCAGCATTAAAGGTCCCCAAGAACACAGTGGCCTCCATCATTCTTAAATGAAAGAAGTTTGGAACCACCAAGACGCTTCCTAGAGCTGGCCGCCCGGCCAAACTGAGCAATCAGGGGAGAAGGGCCTTGGTGAGGGAGGCGACCAAGAACCCGATGGTCACTCTGACAGAGCTCTAGATTTCCTCTGTGGAGATGGGAGAACCTTCCAGAAGGACGTCCATCTCTGCAGCACTCCACCAATCAGGCCTTTATGGTAGAGGGGCCAGACGGAAGCCACTCCTCAGTAAAAAGGCACATGACAGCTCGCTTGGAGTTTGCCAAAGGCACCTAAAGGCATCTGACCATGAGAAACAAGATTCTCTAGTCTGATGAAACCAAGATTGAATTCTTTGGCCTGAATGCCAAGCATCACATCTGGAGGAAACCTGGCACCATCGCTATGGTGAAGCATGGTGGTGGCAGCATCATGCTGTGGGGATGTTTTTCCATCTGCAAGGACTGTGAGACTAGTCAGGATTGAGGCAAAGATGAACAGAGCGAAGTACAGAGAGATCATTGATGAAAACCTACACCAGAGTGCTCAGGACCTCAGACTGGGGCGAAGGTTCACCTTCCAACAGGACAACGACCCTAAGCACACAGCCAAGAAAACGCAGGAGTTGCTTCGGGACAAGTCTCTGAATGTCCTTGAGTGGCCCAGCCAGAGCCCGGACTTGAACCCGATCCAGACATCTCTGGAGAGACCTGAAATTAGCTGCGCAGCAATGCTCCCCATCCAACCTGACAGAGCTTGAGAGGATCTGCAGAGAAGAATGGGAGAAACTCCCAAAATCAAATCAAATTGTATTTGTCACACGCGCCAAATACAACAGGTGTAGTAGACCTTACAATGAAATGCTTCCTTACAAGCCCTTAACCAACAATGTAGTTTTAAGAAAAATAAGTGTTAAGTAAAAAATAAAAGCAGTAAAATAACATTAAAAATAACAGTAGCAAGGCTATATACAGGGGGTACCGGTACAGAGTCAATGTGCAGGTAATATGTACATGTAGGTATAGTTAAAAGTGACTTTGCATAGATAATAAACAGCGTAGCAGCAGCGTAAAAGAGGGGGTGGGGGTAGTCCGGGTAGCCATGATTAGCTGTTCAGGAGTCTTATGGCTTGGGGGTAGAAGCTGTTGAGAAGCCTTTTGGACCTAGACTTGGAGCTCCGGTACCGTTTGATGCGCGGTAGCAGAGAGAACAGTCTATGACTAGGGTGGCTGGAGTCTTTGACAATTTTGAGGGCCTTCCTCTGACACCGCCTGGTATAGAGGTCCTGGATGGCAGGAAGCTTGGCTCCAGTGATGTACTGGGCCGTACGCACTACCCTTTGTAGTGCCTGCAGCTGTATAACTTTTTGAGGATCTGAGGACCCATGGCAAATCTTTTCAGTCTCCTGAGGGGGAATAGGCTTTGTCGCACCCTCTTCACAACTGTCTTGGTGTGTTTGGACCATGATAGTTTGTTGGTGTTTTGGAAACCAAGGAATTTGAAGCTCTCAACCTGCTCCACTACAGCCCCGCCGATGAGAATGGGGGCATGTTCGGTCCTTCTTTTCCTGTAGTCCACAATCATCTCCTTTGTCTTGATAACGTTGAGGGAGGGGTTGTTATCCTGGCACCACATGGCCAGGTCTCTGACCTCCTCCCTATAGGTTGTCTCATCGTTGTTGGTGATCAGGCCTACCACTGCTGTGTCGTCAGCAAACTTAATGATGGTGTTGGAGTCGTGTCTGGCCATGCAGTCATGGGTGAACAGGGAGTACAGGAGGGGACTGAGCACGCACCCCTGAGGTGCCCCCGTGTTGAGGATCAGCGTGGCAGATGTGCCAGGTGTGGCAAACTTGTAGCGTCATACCCAAGAAGACTCAATGCTGTAATCGCTGCCAAAGGTGCTTCAACAAAGTACTGAGTAAAGGGTCTGAATACTTATGTAAATAAGGTATTTTTTAAAATAAATGTGCTAACATTTCTAAAAACCTGTTTTCGCTTTGTCATTATGGGATATTGTGTGTAGATTGATGAGGGAAAAAAACAATTTAATAAATTTTAGAATAAGGTTGTAATGTAACAAAATGTGGAAAAAGTCAAGGGGTCTGAATACTTTCCGAAGGCACTGTATCTCTCTCTCTCTCTCATTAAATCAACTGAAGAATGCAAATGGTTCAACTGAGGTAGCTGTGCCTGTTTTTTTCTGCCTCTGTGGTCTTCTTCCACATAAATGAGGTAGCTATTCCTGTCTGTCTGCCTCTGTGGTATTCTGAATGCTTGCTTGGCAGAGGTTTTTCTATCACAACATAACACAAGAGCAGACAGTGATTTCAACAAGAAAAACAGGTTGCCGATTGGGACAGTGCCTTTCTGTTGTCCCTCAAATCAAATCAAATTGTATTTGTCACATGCGCCAAATACAATAGGTGTAGACCTTACAGTGAAATGCTTACTTACAAGCCCTTAATTATTTTAAAAAAAAGTAACAAATAATTAAAGAGCAGCAGTAAAATAACAATAGCGAGGCTATATACAGGGGGTACCGGTACCGAGTCAATGTGCAGATAGTCGAGATAATTAAGGTAATATGTACATTTAGGTAGAGTTATTAAAGTGTAAGTGAGTTATTAAAGTTATTATCCCTCCCTCCCACCCTCCGAATGATTAACCCCAAAACCAACAGGAGGCACAGTACCGTGCCATAGCCCTTCAGCATCCCCACCCCCACCCCTTTCTCTAGCCAGACAATGAATAAACAGTTAGACAAGAGAAAAATCTGCATCATGTGCAGTTCTGAACTGGCCTATGGGCAAAAAGTTAATCCAGACTGCTTTTCACCAGCATTATGCAGCCAGATAGCACTTTTGGGGGGGTTAACTGATTGCTCGGGAGAATTAATCCCTTCTTTACAAATATCTAAAACTGCATAAAATGAACATTCTTTGGGGTTTCAGCTGCACAAGTGACACATTTAGGCTCTAACAGGTTGACGTACAATAAAGGAGAGCACCAACTGGATGGCTGTGTGCTGTCTGAACTCAAGTTATATTGGCCCCACCTGTCCCACACACAGACTTGTCCCACATACAGTATAGGTTCTTACTTGTGTGTGTTCCTTACCAAGTATGTGATGACATCATATCCTTCTTCCTTCAACCACACCAAGATACAGGAGGTGTCCAGTCCTCCACTGTAGGCCAGAACCACTGTGCCTTTAGACATAATGAGGATTATGTCCAAATGATGCCGGTCAAAGGGGTCTGTTGTATCTGGGGTCGAATTATACAAAGAAAATAGAGAATCTTTCATTTAGAAAATACATTGGAGTAATACAGTTACGGAAATCTCCAATCATCTTCTATCCTGAACACACTGGCTTATTCATAAGGTTGTGACTGGATGCAGGGTGGAAAGTGGAAGGATGTTGATATCCATCCATATTCCTGTAAGAATATCATTATGGAAACTAGTATCAATCTCCAATGACTATGGTTACAAACACCTGTAAATAATTCAATGGAGAGCAGGTTCCAAATGCTTGCGCTCAATAACTGCACACATGTAAACCACGCATGTTATACTACTATGTATTTCACTGTTAGTCTACACCTGTTGTTAAGAATCATGTTACTTAACATTTGATTATTTGTTACCTAGCTAGCGAGCTAGCTAACATGCTTCACTGAAATGCCAACTGTTGCATTCGAATCAGTAGTTAGCTGCCAATGGACTTCTCAATAATCAGCAGCAATCACGATGTGACCCTTATCTCGTTTGATGTTTTGATAGCGAGCCAAATGTAAACTTAAATTTGCACATAAATGTAAAATATAGTGACGCCATTTTACAATTATATATGTATTTACCGTTCTAAAAGCTTGATGGCGAAATAAAGAGGTCTCTAACTCTCGAGTCTTCTCTCCAGTCCAGTCTCCACGATGTATGGAACGCGTGTCCAAATATATTGTGCAGTGGCCAAGATTTTGCTCAACATTCGAGATGTGTACAGCTGCAGCCCCACAGCAGCCTGTGACTATAAAACTAGCCTATCACTAAAACCAATGCTATCGCCATCTACTGGCCGTGGTTTATCTCTACCACATACTGTACACGTGAACTCCTTTACTTTCCTAGATTCCTTTCCTAACTTCCTTTCCTGTCCTATCTACTGGCCGTGGTTAATCCCTAACACATACATGCGAACTCCTTTCCTAGATTCCCTTCCTTGTTCCCTTTCTTTTTCTCCTTTACAAGCTTAATTTCATTTCATTCCCTACTTCCCTATCTCCATTCCTCATGCCCTTCCTAGGTTCCTTTCCTTATTCCTTTACTCCCTTTAGAGCAGGGTTCTTCAATTCCGGTCCTGGAGGGCCGAAACACTTCTGTTTTTTATTTCTACCTGGTAGTTAATTGCACTCACCTGGTGTCCCAGGTCTGAATTAGCCCCTGATTAGAAGGAGAGGATGAAAAACAGAGGTGTTTCGGCCCTCCAGGACCGGAATTGAAGAACCCTGCTTTAGAGGAAAGAAAATTAACGAGGAAGCAAGGAAAAGGAGCTAAGAAAGGTGGAAAGGAACTAGGAAAGGAGATAAGGAAAGTGAGATAGGGATGGAGGAGAGGAAAGGGAGGTAGAAAAGGAAAGGAAAAGTTCACATGTATGTGGTGGGGATTAAACACAGCCAGTAGATGGCAATAGTATTGGTTTTAGTGACAGGCTAGTGTTACTCACAGACTGCTGCAGGGCAGCAGTGATTGCAAAATTCGGGTCAACCAACAGCCAATCAAAACTCGACCACCTTTCGAGGGGTGTGTTGAATGGGTGTGATGAGTCAGAAGGGGAAGAAGTCCCACCCTGGTTGTGAGTTTAGCCAAAGATGAATACATCAAGAATAACACTAATACATCCATTGGAATGATAACACGATAAAATACCAATTTTGACGTCAACATGACAGAGCAAGCAGATGCTTTCTTGCAATTTGCCATGATCTCTGAAAAACAAATAATCAAAAATACAATATAAACTTCTGAAAATCAATAATCTGAAGATTTTTATTTTCTTATTCAGTATAGAGCAAAAACACTGAGCAAAGAAAAAGTCAGGGTGATCGCAGACTCTGTCCAGTTCTGCTTGCTTCTTTAGATTGTAGAATATGGCGTTTCATAAATGTCGAGCTCCCCCTACTGCCCTGTTAAAATACAGTTACTAGTTAGGCATTTGCCCTAGATGTACAGTACAAAGTGCCCAAAAAGAGTTCTGGTGCTAACAATTGTTTCAATATTCAATCAAGCACAACTTCAAATCAAACATTTTGAATAGTAGTATACAATGCACACGTCCCCCGCAACTCATCTCAATATACAATCCATTAGTCACAGCCATGGGACTGGATGTGTGTAAGGATGAGGCCTGGGGCTTCTGAAAAGCGGGGAAGATGGCAACCTAGAGAGTGAGGGAGAATCGTATCGTATTCAGTGCCTGAGGTCTCAGGATTGATATAATGAGCAAGTCACAGATGGTCCAACATCCAACACAAGCAGGGAAAGATTAGCGTCTTCATTGGCAACCAAACTGATACACCTACTCACCATTTTGCTTGTTCACAAAAAATTGTTTTTTTCTTCTTCTGAAAGGTTATGGTAACATCCATAAATACATTGTGATATTCATACCTCTGCAACACAGAACCAAGATATGTTTTTTATCCACCCATCACTCATGAATGAGTTACTTTGCACTTTGACACAGTTTAATCAAAATCTGACTTTTTCTTGGCACCAAAATAAGGGGACATAAATAGGTGTATAAAATAATTCAGTACCGACCATATTGACCTCAAAAACAAAACAGCAGCTGGAAAACAAAATGTGAAAAAAGAAAAGAAAGAGACAGAGAATAGTGGAGGGAGAGGTTGCTGTGGATGGTCAGAATAATGACGTGTACCCTGGGGGTCCTTGTGTGTCCTGGGGTTAGAGGTGTTTGTGTATCTCTCTCTCCCTACCACTCCTTCTTCTTCTCGTCCATGGACACCCCGCCGGGCCCCAGTGCTACGACCAACAGCAGCCCTCCGATGACGGACGTGGTCTGGAAGAAGTCGTACTTGAGGAAATCGTGCATGGGCTTGTAGGCGGGCACCGTCCAAAAGGCGTTGAAGTAGACGTTGATGGCCAGCAGCCATATTACCAGGGTCAGGGCGGCCAGCTTGGTCTTGAAGCCAACGGCCACCAGGATGATGAGAGCCGTGCCCACCATGTTCTGGAGGATCTGGGGGAGTGGAGAGGGACACATGGGTCAGGATTCAGACTGCAGACTGAACCACCAATGCTACTGTACAACTGTTGCACCAGAACCTGTCTAATCGAATGCAGCACTTAGGCCGTCAAATCTCTAAATACCATACAATACTAACATGATTGTGCGTAATCTTAACAAAAACTGTCAACACCCCACATGCAAACTCAGCTTGATCTCCGCATATTTACATGAGAAAATGCATTACACAGCTTATTCCCCTCTAACTGTAGTCCCTCCTGAGTGGCACCATAGAGGCAGGGTGGTGGGCTACTCACCGAGAAGAAGCTAGGGTCAAAGTGCAGCAAGGTCATGAACATGAGCACCAACAGGACTCTCCCTCCCAGCTGCATGTACTGCTTTGGTGAGCTCTCCCCCATCGAGGGGACGCCAGCGAACATGCTCTTCCCTTCTGAACGTGACTCCGCTAGTAATAGCAGGAGTCCACCGCCAAGAGCAAGGTTCCTGAGAGAGGAATGGAGGAGGGGAGGGGGAGGGGGGAGGTGAGGAGACGACATTGTGTAGGAGAAGAGGGGAAGTAAGATCCATACTTAGTTCAATGCAGTGTTGCAGTACTCGAGTCCGACTCGAGTCCTAATTTTCATGACTTGTGACTCGTATTTGCACTTGGACTGAATAGGCTACTATGATAAGCAGAATATTAGCAGCACTGGGTGCGCACAGCAGCGAGGGTTCTGTTCTGTAGCAGTGGGAAGGAAGCGCCACACCCGGCCTACATCAGCTGGTGAGCTGCGGGAGAGCCAGCGATGAATGTGGGCAGGCGGACTCCGCTCCGATCATAGGCTACACATCACACAAGCAACTCTCTTGCTTCCCCGTAACCACCAGTCTACTATTTAGCTTTGCCTGGTTAAGAAACACAAACTGCTTTACAAAATTGAAAACTCTAGTATTGAGTTTAATAGTAAAATAACAGTCTAGCCATTTGTCTCTCTCTGGCCTTGAGTATAGAAAAGTAGTCCATCTTTGAATTTGTTGCCTCGCTCTACCCTCCCACTTTCCCCCCTGCATCCCATAGCCAGGTTCTGATAAGCCTCCCTTTAGGTTTCACTTTGCAATAAAAAATCTACACTATCAGTGGCCGAAAAAAAAAAAAAAAAGGTATCTGAAAGCCTGACTTACCATTAATTGATGTAGTAAATAAGTAGTGACACACAGGTATTGAGTAGAACTTGTGAGCTAGTGATGAATAGCAACAAATATATGAGGGAGTGGTCATCTGGTGGTTACTAGACACAATTGCATAAGACCTACTATAAATTGATGGACTCGTGACTCGACCATTGGTGACTCGGACTTCAGCCATAGGGGCTAATGACGCGACTCGGACTCGAGCATAGGGGACTTGGGATTCAACCTCAAGGTTTAGTGACTCAACTACAACACTGGTTCAATGTATAGGGGTATAAAATTAATGGGACAGACGGACAGTGGAAAATGTACCTACGGTTTTAAGACACTTAAAAACAACTAATATAATTGGTCATGTAAAACAGACTAAAGTCAATTGCATATTTTCAATTTAATATGTAAAAATATTATTCATAAACTTATTGGAAGAGACCTACCTCATCAGAAATTTTATATCCCATAAAATACTGTACGCAACCGTCTGGAAAAAATAAAGTATAAGAAATTCAGCACGAAATATTACACAGCCAGAAATTCATGAACATAGCCAGTGTGCGGCTGTCAGCCATTTCAGTTGTCAGCCAAAAATCACAGAAAGGTACATGAAATGCAATGCCAATAGATTAGATATTTCCTTACCTGTAGAGCTATGATTCCAAATAATCCAAAGCAGGCATACTGTACAAAATTTCTACTGAGGATAAGGACACAGCCACCTGTTGGAGTGAATAAAATAACTGAAGGTTAGGATTGCAGAAACTCGTCCAATTGAACCGGCACAACTGTACCCCATCTTCCCCAAAAGGGGTGGCATTCCCACTTATTACAACTCCTGTATCTTTCCCCAGCCTTCAAAGACAGCATGGGGTCATCATTCTACGGTCTTAGGTCCACACCACACTAACCACTCAAATTAGTCGATAGTGAATGAATGATCAAATCATGTGGCTTTGGCACAAACCCAGATTGACTCTCTACTGAACAGGCTTTTTCAATCCATGCATGGACCCATGCAGATTGTTTTATGTTTATATTGATGAAACAAACAGGCTAATGATCCCAGCCTTGCTCACCAAGCTGTCCTGTGAGGTTAAGCAGCACAAAGCAGGTGGCCAGGAAGTAGCCACAGCCCCACGTCCCCTCAATGTAGTCCCTCTGCTCGTTCCACTGGAACCACATGCGGATGCCGTCCTCCAGGAAGGTGCTGATTAGACACAGCCGAGCCAGGTGAGGCAGGTACTGCTTCGTAACCCGCAAGAACTGGGAGAGAGAGGGGAAAGGGACATTTAGGCCTACATTTGGCATACAGTACAATTACATTTCAGAAGACACTAGCATTGACAGTAAAAGAGGGTGAATGAGGACCTTTAAATAAATATACTGAAAACCTACAGGATATTAAATGAAAGGTCATTCCAGAAGCAATTTGGGAGAAGAGACAGAGAGTAGGCCAGCTGGTGGCATTGCAGTAGGGAATGAGGTAATATATATTTTTGTACCCCCCTTTCCTCCCCAATTTCGATCTTGTCTCATCGCTGCAACCCCCCAACGGACTCGGGAGGCGAAGGTCGAGTCATGCGTCCTCCGAAATATGACCCGCCAAACCACGCTTCTTAACACCTGCCCGCTGCACTGATGTGTTGGAGGAAACACTGTTCACCCTGATGACTGAGGTCAGCCTGCAGGCGACCGGCCCGCCACAAGGAGTCGCTAGAGCGCGATGAGCCAAGTAAAGGCCCCCGGCCAAACCCTCCCCTAACCCGGACGACGCTGGGCAAATTGTGCGCTGCCCTATGGGACTCCCGATCACGGCCGGTTGTAGTGACGCCTCTAGCACTGCGATGCAGTGCCTTAGACCGCTGCGCCACTCGGGAGGCCCTAGAAGATGGTATATTTAAATGGCAAGTTGGACAAATACAGGCTCTCATAGAAAAGCACCCTGCTTTGTGTCAGTCTCAAAGTACTACAGTACTAGGTTACAAACATCTGCAGATTCTTTCAATTCTGCATAATGGAAATACCTCCTGTTTCAGGTTATTAGCACCTGCAATTACCGTGTGTGTGAAATCAATCCCTACTCACTTACTTTAACCAACTGCCCTACATTCACTAAACCTCCATATGTTGGCTTCGCTCCAATACATTGGAACTGATCATCGTCTACCTACTAAAGTACAGCAGAAGAACAGTAACCATCCCACAACACCTCCCACCACAGTCCACATCAGCACTGCCTGGTTCGAGGTGGCCTATCACAGTTCAACAACTCCCACGTCATTCATAGAGGCACACAAATGGGAGGGCCGAGCGGCCAATCAGAGAGGACCTAAAAGGTGCTGCTACAGCCTAGTGGAGTAGCCAACATTAGATCAGAACTGTTTGTTACAGCTTATTAGTGAGGAATTTTCAGCACTGTCTTGTTAAAATGTGCCTTTAACGTATAGGACAGGCCTACCTTAAGACATGTTTCATGGCAAAGCAATTTAAGAGGTGAAATTTCCAAACTGCTATTTTACAGCTAGGGGTGAACTAAATATTTGGTATCAGCTGGGGTTTATTCAAGACAGTTTTCGATAAAGCAGCAGGCCTATGTTACACCCTTACTTAATGTCTGTCCTGAGGGTATGTAAACTGTGCAAACAGAAAAGCTCACATGGATAGAGCTGGGCTATAGAACGAGAGGAAATAGCCCCGGTCTTGAAATATTGTGAATTCCTATTGACTGAAATACAGCACTATAGGCTTGTATTAATATGACTTCCAGTCCAATCTTCAAACTGGGTAACAGCTCTGTAACCTGAACTATGGGGTTCTTGACACGTTCCACTTATAGATCAGAATTCCAAGGGGATTGCAATTTCAACCACAGGGCAAAAAGCTAGACTTACCAAAGGGGCATACAAGAACATATGTTCACATTTTCTGCCTCTGTCTTGTACATTACACAACACTATTATTTTGTGTTCTTACACACACACTTCATTATAAGAGTTGAGTGTGGTGTCTCTGTGGGGGAGTGAATTTGCACAGGTCTTTGCAAAGACACAGTCAACTATAGTGTGTTACTGTGTGGCTAGCTGAGAATTCTCAACTCCACCAAAACTCAACGCCACTCAACTCCATTGAGAATGAGATGTGAAGTGGTTAGGACGGTACCGTTAGCTAGCTATATATCGTGGAGTTGAGAATTCTCAGCTACTGTGTGGCAAGAGTTGCATCATTAACTAGTTAACCGGGAATTATGAATTTGAATCATTGCTTCCAAATTCACTGGCTAGGTAGCATGCTAGTGAGCTACCTAAATACAAGTAGCTAGGGAAAGCACAAAAGGGAAAGCACTGCAATTATCTGTGGATTTATTCTGCTGCAGTAATTAGCTATTAGCTAACTACATCATGCTAGCTAACGTTTGATAGTTGGCAAACAATGTCTACCAAACGTTATCTAGCAAATAATGCGTGTAACTAGCTAATTGTGCAAGTAATATTAGCCAGTTAGCAAGCTATAAATTAATAACTCAAGTAGCTGTGGCTACCTAGCTAGAACCCGCTGTTCCTCTGAATCAGTCTGAAAAGTTAGCAACCTAGCAAGCCGTTAGCTAGCTAACTTTAGCCTGTGAAACAACGAAGTTAGCTACCTGGTCCGCCACATCTTCGGCTCGACTCATGAGCTCCTCCTGCCCCATGTCTAACGAAACGGAGGCTTAGTTCTATAAGTCAAGGGAATATTAATTAGCTAATGTAGAAGTCCTCTGCCTCCGATATTTACTTCAGCAATTCTTGCCGGTCTCAATGAAGAGAAGGCCGCCTCTGCCCCACAATGCTTCGCGTTGCGATGATAGCCCCGGTAGTTGCTCTACCGACCGCTGTGTGCCACGTATACTGATCCAGGTGGTTCGACGTTATGCCATGTTTGCTCAGTGCCATCGCACAGTCCCCCTGCATCCCACTACGCCGATAAACACCAAAGACAACAGCAAGGCACCCATCAGCTTTCAACAACACACGCCAGGAAAAGTTACCCACTTTCAAAAGAACAGTTCTCAGTAATGCAAAATGACTTTATGAAATGTATTTGTTAGTCCGTCTGCATGTAAACCCAAGTAGGCTCAATTAGCTGAGACCATTCCTAATTGACATTAGATACGATGGCCTACTGTAGTGTATCATGCAGCATCTTCAATGTGACTCAATATTGACATGTTACAGACTGATTTTTATTGTCATGCTCTATGAGGATAAGATCACATTTTACTATTCTATAGTTACTAAATATGGACTATTTTGAATATTGGTACTGTTTAATCACAGAATTTCTGGAGAAGAGTGAAGTAGTAAGTGGGCAGAAAAATAATGCATGATATCTTAAATCTCATGTTGAACAAGAAACATACTTTCCAATATAATCTCGGGAAAAAGTGTTTAAAAAATGTACCAAACAGGCAGTCAATGCACAAACACTACACTACCTTTGTTCAAAAACAGTTGCAAAATTCCTTGATAAAGTAAACATTCTATCTAAGACTATAGAGAATATTTCCCTATTTGCATATCTAGAAGTGAACCATTTAGTGGTCTCAACCCATTTAGCACAGGTAAAAGTTCATACTTCTCACACTTTTTACACATGTAACAAGTAGCCATTACTACGGTTCCTGTTTGCACAACATTCCAGTCGAGCTAGAGCCTGAAGCTGAGCTGATCCCAAAGGTGTGACTGACCACAAGTGGAAGGTCAGCCACAGTGGCTTTCAGAGAGTCTGTGTAGTTGTTCTTGGCCATCCAGACCTGTCTTCTGATGGCTACAGAAGAAGCCAGGACCCTTCCAGACAGTTCAGCCTGGTGGGAGGACAGCTGGAGGGTGAACTGGCCAATGACCTTCAGCTCATTGAGGACCGCCACAAAACTCTGTGCTGAACGATCCTCAGTGATCTCCAGCAGCAGCCTCCTCTGGTAGTCGGATAGGTAGCGCAGGTAGTTGGCCATCTTGGCAAGCATGCCAGCAGTCTGGTACATCCTCTCTACTAGAGTCTCAGTGAAACACCATCGCTCAGCCGAGATCGGCGCCTCCTTGTAAAGCAGTTGACCTGAGTCATCTGGTTGTAGGCTGGAGACTGGCAGTCGTGAAGCCTGTACATCTTGGAGAACAGCTCCCTGTACGGCTTCAAGCTGGCAGGGTTTGGCCAAGAGCTCTAGACCAGGTCCTCAAACTATGGAACCATGGTAGGGTCTGGTGGGCTGGAGCTGGTTGGTGTGCTGATGAAGTCTATGCCAAGATACAAGATACTTGGCGGCTCGTGCTATGAGGCTCTGAAGCTCCTTAGCTGCCAGTAAGTCCTGTTTCGAGATAGGACCATCAGTTTTAAATTTTAGTCATTTAGCAGACGCTCTTATCCAGAGCGACTTACAGTTAGTGAGTCCATACATTTTCATACTGGCCCCCCGTGGGAAACGAACCCACAACCGTGGCGTTGCAAGCGCCATGCTCTACCAACTGAGCTACAGGGGGCTACAGTTGACAGAGAGGCATCCTCCCCTTCACCATCTCCATCACTGAGAGGTCTCATGGCAGATGAGATGGAGGAAGGCTCCTCTTCCTGCTTCACAATGTTACGGGAGATAGATTCAGTCACCAGCTGCTTGCTTTCCTGAGAGCAGGTGGATGCCTGAGGGATGGAGGCATGAAGATGTATAGTTTGGGCTGAAGTGGGGAACGACACAACAGCTTCTGCACCTTTCCTCTCCAGAGCCTCAATGCGCTTCTCCAGAATGGCCCACTGTAGCTGGATGGCCTGTTGCTGGGCCTCTAGTCTCTGTTGAACCACCTCCCCATGTCTCCTCTCTGACCGGACAGCCTGCCGCGACTCCCTCTGAGACCTCCTCCACTTTCCCGAGGGGCAGAAGCCATCTTCAGAGCTCCAGTAGGAGGAGGAAGACGAGGAGGATGGAGAGCGCCTCCGCCGGTGGCTACTGCGGCTCCGTTTGGAGTGCTTGGAGCAGCATGATGAGAAATGGTGTCGTTTGCGGGAGCTGGAAGTCAGCATGTGGGAACCTGATTGGCTCATGGATGGGGTGGAGTCAGCTGACTGCTGAATAGCAAGTTGTGAGGAACGTGTCTTTTGGGAAGCTGGAATTGGGCCCTGTCTGCGCTGGGGGCGGGGAGAGAATGGTGAACAACACTGGCATGGTGGATGAATAGACAGGTGTGGTAGTAGAGAGCCGAGGTGGGGGCAGAGTGGGGACTGGGTCTTCCTCCGGTTTTGGTTCCTTGATGGGAGCGGAGGTGGTCTCAGGCTTGGGCTGAACTTCAGACTGTGCTGCCTTGTGCGTCCTCTGCTGGCTTTCACAGTGCATTATCTTCTGAACTTTGGTGAGGCGGTTGATGCAGGTGCTCCAGTCCATCTTGGAGCACTGGGGGCATTTGCCATACTCCAGCACAGCCTCCTTGGGCATGTTGGATGCCCAGACAGTGAAGGCACAGCTCATGGGTGTCTTTGACAGGAATCTTGTGTTTGCCACAGTCACACCACGTGAACCTTAGGGAGGAAGTTGTCATGGCTAACAACTGTTGAGGAGAGCAAGGACCCCAAGATGCCTCCTGCCAATGCTCTCAGTTTAGGAGATCATTTGTGGGGCTGATATTGTTGGCTCCCCTGTAACAATAAATAGCCATATGAGCCCAACATAGGTCATCAACGTTAATCATCATTGCACATATTTTAAAATTTTTTTAGCTCACTAGCTTGGTCAGTAGCTAGCTAGCTGTCATGAGCTACTGCTGGCTTCGAGAGCTAGTACATCGCAGCAAAGCAAAAGCACTAATATTTTATCAAGAAATGGCAGAATACTTAAAAATATATATATATATAAACATCACTTAGAAAGTAGACTAGGCAGTATGCGAATACAATTTTCATTAAACTGTGTTCTTTGTGTGGTCCTTCACCCATTTGTATATTGACGTTGCACAGACCAGCCAGGCAAGCTAGCTAGAAGGTAAACAAAAATGCATTGAAAACGTAGCTATGCATATTTGACACCATATATGCAAGAACAATGAACGCACACCTACCCCAATCGAATCTGAAAAGGGTTGCTTTGTTGTTAATTCGAAATTATGATCTGCAAAGATATAGGAAATGTGTAGAGATGTCCTGCAAAGTTGCTCCTACGTCATACTCTGTCCGACAGAAGCTAAAGAGCAAAGATCCTGTAGTAACAACCAGATCCCACGATTGCACGGTCTCTCGAATAATTAGCAATTAGAACACTAGAATGCCCATGAACCTTTTATGATGGTATAAAGATCAGCCATTTTGGTCAGGGAGTTGGTCAACCTGCCAGTGCTGTGATAAGATATTGTGTAAAATAATGCATTTTAATTTATCTGCACTGTATGTTTGTTAGCTAGCCAGCCAGTTTTAGAGGAATGATTCCATAAATTTTTCAAATGAACTGCCAATATACCAACATTCCATTCAAACTATGCAGTCAATCCACAGCCATACACTGGCTGAAATCAGTTGATGATAGGACAAGTTGTAAATTCAACAACTACTGATATTGTATCAAATAATAGCAATAATTCCAAGAAAACAAATGTGAGCTATAGATCTGTAATTATAATTGAAAACAAGTCCATGAAGCAGTAGATCTGTTCTATGCTTCCCGTTTATAAGTTTCATTTTAGCATCTTTTACTTTCGGTTTTGTACACCAGCTTCAAACAGCTAAAAATACAATATTTTTGGTTATGGAAAATATATTTCACAGAGGTTTAGCTGGTACAATGATTATCTACACTATACTTGCTTGATTTGTTACAAAAACTCTACTAGGCGAACTATTTGAATTTTAGCAACCAGGAAATGGCGCAGCTATTTCTGTATAGTGCATCTTTAAGGTTGACAATAGTTCTACTACACAATTTCTGATATATCACGTCTTACTTTTATTTTTATAGGATCTCTAATGAGTTCTCCTCTCAATCAATCATCAGGGGTGTAATCATTCCTCCAAACAGTTGCAAAGCATTCCGTTGCGGAACAGAATCAGCTGAATGAGTACACTCCTGAATTTGTCTAAAATAAACTCTTGTTTTAGTTACAAAACTAAATCCTCAAAGTTCCAGAATGGGGTGAAAATAGCAGCCATGTTAGTCATGGAGATATCCAAACCAGTCTAATTGGAATGAATGGCAGTATAGGCCTAATCAACATTTGAGTGTAGGAAGGACATTTTGGGTGGCAAAGTACTGACATTTCTTATTCAGTTTTTGCAACCGCTTGACATTGACATGTGGTGTGGCAGGCGATTGATGTGTCTGAATGTTAACTTGCAGAAGAGATGATTGCTGTAAGTCAGACATGCAGAATTGGCTAGCTGTGCCACTAGAGATCCTGGTTCGAATCCAGGCTCTGTCGTAGCCGGCCGCGACCGGGAGACCCATGGGGTGGCGCACAATTGGCCCAGCGTTGTCCAGGGTAGGGGAGGGAATGGCCGGCAGGGGATGTAGCTCAGTTGGTAGAGCATGGTGTTTGCAACGCCAGGGTTGTGGGTTCGATAAAATAATGTATGTGCTAACTGTAAGTCGCTCTGGATAAGAGCGTCTGCTAAATGACTAAAATGTAAATGTAAATGTCAGTAACAATTAAAATAACTGGTTTAGAGGCAGACAGGCAGCTGATAATCACACAAGCCCTGTAATCATGTTTGGGTGTACCATGTCATCTGTCCAGAGACAGATTTGCAACTGTTTGGAGTTTCTATTAGACAAATTCAGCTAATTCCCTCCATTTTGTTCTGTTTGCTTAGATTTTGCAACAGAATCAGCGGAATGAATACACCCCTGGTAAGTCCCTCTCCATTTCGTTTGCTAGTTTAAGAAATGTTTTGCAACAGAATCGGTGGAATGAATACAACCCAGTTCTTAAATACCTTAGCTGGCAGTTACTGTATCAAACTTTTCCATAATCTCTTCTATGGTAAAATGAATACTCTAGCACGTTTGGGACGTTTTCATAATTGGAGCTATATGATGATCAAATGCTGTAGTTGAGATGATTAACAGGACTACATTTACTTCTGGGCATTAGCAGAATCCATGCCATAACTGGAAAATGCTTTTGTGTGGAACATTACAGATTTAGTGTTGATCTGTCAACTCATGCTCAAAATAGGATCTACAAATCGTTAATTAGCTTTTAGAAGTAGACTTTTATCATGTTTGCATCTACTTATCAGCACTCGACAAATTCAAAGTACGAATTGAGAAACACAGCATTTTATATTCACCTTTATTTTACTTTTTTTACTTTCACATTGGTCTTTAAACCTTTTCTTTTCCAGTTATGATTCTTGGATTTCTTCTGGAAACCACCAGCCTGAACCTGTTGAGGATACAAAGAGAGCTGTGTTACTAATTTCAGTAATTCAACAACCACATATTCAGACCTGTTTGTGTGGAAGACCGCTCAACACTATTGGTGTAAAGACAGTGCTGTGAGAGTTAAGCCGTCTGACCTTCTTGCGTTTCTGTGGCGCCTGTTTATCAACTTCCATCTCCTCATCGTCATCCGTTTTAAAGTCAACCTCTTTTCCCTCTTCCATACCCTCCTCAGTCTCCTTTTGCAGAGAAAATAAAGAGGCTGTAGGGAAAGAAAAAGCAAGAAATCAGTTTTCACCTTCCAGAAAGGAAGGAGATTGATCAAATAAATAAAATGTACAACATATCAGGTTATTGCTCATCCACAGCAGACATTGTCACCATTGACTGTTTTACACATTCAATGACTGAGGTACTAACATGGGTACAGGTCACTCATGCTGTCCTCTGAGTCGCTGCCACCCTCGTTGCTGGAGTCAGGAGCCCACGCTCCATTCCCCCTCTGGGTGTTGCGTCCCCTCTCCCCCTCCCCACCTCTATCTCTGGGCTTCTTCTGTCGGAGGCTCGCTGGAATGTACTCCACCCCCTGTTGTACACACTCTTCATCTAGGGGAGAGATTAGACAATTCATAAACTGTACTGACAATAGTGAAAACAACCATCTGTGGTGTTTCAGGTAGTTCTATTCTACCTCTCCCAACAAAAATCTAAATGGAAAACCCTCTAAAACTTTGAGTGGAAAGGAAGCATCAACATTTGAGTGTAGGTAGGAGGAAGGACATTTTGGGTGGCGAAAAGTACTGACATTTCTTCTTTGCTTTTTGGAACCGCTTGCCATTGACATGCCGTAAGACCTGGTGTGGCAGGCGATTGATGTGTCTGAGTGTTAACTTGCAGAAGAGATGATTGCTGTAGGTCAGACATAGAATTGGTCAGTAACAATTAAAATAACTGGTTGAGGCAGACAGGCTGCTGATAATCACCCAAGTCATGTAACCATGTTGCATTGGTGGTAGCAGTGAGAGAACCTCTGGGCAGACCTGGAGGAGGGGGGAGGAGGGGTGTTCCGCCTCCTTGTATTTGGGTGTACAATGGATTCTGTCCAGAGATCATGCACCTTTGTGGTGCATGCGCTCAAGCCCCACTCCCCATCAATCACTAAACCGGTCACTTACTGAAAGTATGACTCTTGGGGAATACTTACGGTTGCTTCGAGCTGGGCACAACATGAGGTTCATATTGACTATAGCTGAACTCTGCAGTAGAACTTAGTTTCTGATATTTCTTCCCTTTCGTGAAGTTCTGGAGCTCTTTGAGGTTGCAAGGTAAATCATGTCCATTGAGTGTGCATTTAATCTGAAAAGAGGTGTAAAACAAAACGCTGTCATTTTTTACGTCTTCTTGCTCACATCATTCACATATACAGCTAGCCATTTCACAGAGCAGAAGCTAGTAGCTGACAAGCTAGCTGCGCAGCCTATTATTATTAGCTAGTTAACGTTTACTGGCTAGTTTATACAGTATTTTGTATAAAAAGGTTCTAACTAACCTTTCTACTGTCATCCGTAAATTCAAGAAATGGATGATTCAGAAGGAACGCTTTGATATCTGCAGGTAGATCCTCCATGGTCGATTAATTAAGTGGCTAGCTAGATAAGGTTATTTTATTTTAGCTTCTAGCTGACTGTCCCTGTCATGTATGCAGGGTCCGAGCCACGTGGGTACCCTGGCGTATTTCTTCCAGATGTGTAGTAATTTGGCGCCACCTATTGTTCATTACAGTATGAAGCAGTCTGAGATAGGACCTAGTACTCAATACAAAATAAAGAAAACTGTCTGTAATGCATAGATATCAATAGAAATTTGACATTAAAATTCACCAAATTAAACACTGAAAAGTTAAACATTGACGTTGGAATGAATGATAGAGGGGAATTGCCAAATATAATATACTAATATAAATCACAAGATAAACTACATCACGAAACTGGCCACAAAACTGCCTGATGTGAATCTTTAGATGCTCATATTGTGTTCCAATCTGATACACATGCACAATTAGACGATTTTTAACTCATAATTACAAGAACGAATATATTGTAGATGTAGATTTGTTGGAAGTATTTGTAAAGCAATGTTTGGACATTGCGTCAAGGCATCATTTCTGACAGCTTATTTCGGTTTCCACTAGTTACCACAACCACAAAGTCAAAATTGGCTATATCGTAAAAATGTATGAAAACAAACATTTGCTTTTTGGTCTTAATTTAAGGTTAGGGTTAGGCATAAGGTTAACATGGTGGTTAAGGTTAGGTTTAAAATCACTTTTTAAGAAGCTACATATAAATGGGAGGGGTTTATGACTTTATGGCTGTGGTAACTAGTGACGACAGCTTATTTCTCAATGTTGTCATCAGTCAGCTGACAGTGCGTGACAGGATAGAGTTAAACCAAAGACACTAGTCGTTGTTAGCTAGCAGTCAAGAAAAATCACATTTGTGCATTACGGTTTAGTCATTTTTACTTTTTCGTTTTTCAGCGGAATTTTCTATTAGAACGCTCTCTTATATGTCAAGTGCTCTGGTGATGAACATAGTAATTTAAGTCAACTACCATCTGTTGTTAAGTTAGCTACTATCTATGGTATGGGCAATGCCTAGCTAGTTAACGCATCCTACCCTAATTCATTTTAGTGTAGTTAATTATACGTAAGCAACAATATGTCTGGACCAAATGGAGATCCTAACATCCCAAGTGACGATGGCATCATTGAGGATGAAGATGAATTCAACGAAGAAGGTAATACTGGTATGTTTCAGATGTCAATGTCATGCACCATCTGGAAGCGTCATCTCTTCAGCTGTGACTAAGGGATACATGGTGTGGGTGTGGGTGTGGGTGGGTGTGTGTGTGTTCTCATTCTCTGCTGTCTACATAGGTAAGTCAAAAGGGTGTCTATATTTGTCTGTTAGGACTTGCACATCGTCTCTGTTCTCACATCTCTCTCGTTTGGCAGAGTATGCAGCCATCAACACTATGCTGGATCAGATCAACTCCTGCCTGGATGACCTGGAGGAACGCAACGACTCCCTGAATGGCAAATTACATGAACTGTTGGAGTCTAACCTGCAGGCCAGGCAGGAGTTTAGAGTCCAGCTCAGCACCGCTACAGCCCCAGGAGAGGAGCAACCCTCCCCAGACAAGGATTCTCCAGCCACTGAAGGGGAGAAGGGCGAAGAGGGAGAGTGAGAGGACTGAGCTTGACTACTAGAGATTTTCTCATACAAATCAACAACATTCCTTCCATCTATATGAGCATCTTTCCTCAAGTGTTCCTGTGTGGTGTGTTGACACTTAGATAAGAGGAGTGAATAGGGGTTTTGCCTTTTCTGTCCCTTACATGTAGTGATTATGAACCCCCACCACTGAACTATACAGTTTGAATCCATACTCAGCTGTTGAAATCTTTAGATGGTTCCTGCTAAGTGAAGTAAATGAGCCTAAAGCTGACAGTTCATTCTGTGTGTTTAAGTGATTAGGTTATGCCAACACATATCCACCACCACATACTATGTATACTAATGTTTCAGCTTAGTTACCTGTATACAGTCCTCAATTGATACAATAGTACTTATTTATCTCTGTGCTTGGTATGGGGTGAAAGCATGCGGAATGAGCTCAGCGATTGACATAACTGGTGGTTTGTAGTCATCAATATTTACATATTTGTGGAGCAACTACCTATACAGCAATAATGCAATATTCCAAATCATATGACTTTCATTGGTCAATGTTCTTCTGTGATGTGCAAGAGATTGTAATGTTTTCTATGTTTTGTGCTGTGTTCCACTTTTTCCTATTCAGTTTTTCTTAGCCAGGTATAAATACAGTATATTTAATGTTACCGAGTGTGACATCTTGAGAATTGCTAACTTAAAGCACTAGCTCTCTAAAACATTTCAAACAATGTACAGGTGTGATATATTCAATATGTGAGGCAATAGTCAAATATTTTATTTATAAATTAAAATGACCCCAATACAGAAAACAAACATCCCAAAAAAAATACATTAAACTTCTAGCTGCTAGAAAACAACTATTTTGTTCATCTCAGTTTGTCATTTGTTGAATAAAAATACATTAAGAAACATACAGCTTTGTTTGAAATTTCTCTTAAATGACCATTTTCGTCACGCTCTGGTCCTGTAATATTTCAGTGGGACCGGAACCAGCTGAACTAGAAGACAACTGCGCATGCCTTCATCAAAACCAATATTCATCTGCTCTTCCTCTGCAAGTTAACTAATAAAACAACTGGCCATTCACTTACATTTAAGTCATTTAGCAGACGCTCTTATCCAGAGCGACTAACTTAAAGTATAATCAGGGAGAGGGAAAGATTGATTCCTTACATTTTCCTTGAAAGAAGAAAATAAGGTGGCTATTTCTACTTGCTGTGATTGGTGACTTATCTGTGGAGTGTTACATTACTTGATTTAGTCTTGTGTAGTTCTGTCTACAACTTAATAAACATGATCCTATATTCAGGTAGAGAAGTCTCCTCTCACCAGGAGATCAGTGACAAATGCTTATCCATGTCTTGTGATGGTCCATGAATAGATCTCCATTCTTGTGTATTTTATTCCTCTTGTGTTACTTTTCTTTTTATTATTATTATTCTTAACTCTGCATTGTTGGGAAGGGTTTGTAAGTAAGCATTTCACTGTAAAGTCTCCACCCGTTGTATTCGGCGCATGTGACAAATACAATTTGATTTGAGATCACAAGCTGGTGAATCATACCATTCCTTCTATTGGTGCTCTTCAAAAGCAGAGCTGCTGGTTATCAGTTTCTTTGCTAGTCTGCTACACTCATTGACTATCACTGGGGAAAATACACTTAATTCTCCATGCCTGGGGCCAAGATTGTTTCCTGACCAGTTAGGGCCCTGGGTTTTGACCAGTCATGTCTCATGGTCCTATCATTCCACTTCATTGGTGTTGATAATAACCTTGATATTATGTTACCCAGTTGAAAGGTGACAACTCTGCCATGCAATTCTTGTACAGACAATTCTACTCAATGAAAATTACTCTACTAGTCAAGTGTACTGGAGCGTACAAGATGTGTGTGAAAAAAAGAATGAAGTAACAACGCAATTGAAAAGGTTGGAAAACAGGCACAAAACTACTAAACTCTTACAGTGTCATGTTTGTGTTGTGATGTGTAAGCTTGTTAATGCAACATTGCAGGACATTTGAAATGATAAATATTAATGGGGTGAAAGGGTTTGGAAATCCACCAATTGTATCAACTGGCCATAGGTAAGCCTAATGCTTCCAACTGTGAGGAAAAATATAAGTGATCACTTAACTTTACATAAAACTGGTTATCTCTGTTGAGAACAAACTATGGCAAAGAGGATCTGTTCTAGGCCAACGTGTTCTCCCTATCTGAGTCACATCTAAAGGAAAGTTTGATGGTCTTAGGACTTGTCTAGTCCAGCAGTTTTACAACATTATGAGAGTTGCAGTAAGAGCAGCTACATTCGAAGGCTCACTAAAAGCATGCACTGCTTCCTAACATTGCAGAAACACTACTGATCTAAAATTCTTCCAGTCTTGACAAAGCCATATGAGCTTATAGCAGAGCATTTTGGAGGTTCAAGTGCGACTTAGGAGCAATACCAGTGGGATTTAGGCAGAGTTTCAGCAACCAAGGGGTTAAAGAGCTAAACAAGTCAGTTAGAATGGCTTTAGTAATACAGTGACAAGGGGAAACCAGTAGCTCAGGACGTATCTGAGCAAAACAGACAAAGCAGTTAGGACTTTTCCCCTTTGAAACCCCCCTCTATCCTATCCCCTCACCTGCGAACACATCCCAAGACAACTGCAGAACAGGTCAGAGTTTGTGTGAAAAATGTCTTAGACAATAAAATGTCAAAGACAGTAACACTTCAACAAAGCTAGAATCAAATCAAGGTTCATCGTTACTTGACATTCAAACAAAAGTACAGTTTAGTTCCCACCCCATCACATTTTTTCTTCTTCCAGATAAAAGTCACCTGCTAAAATGCTACATTCTAAGTCTCACTAAAAGCTTGAGCTACCGTTGTTAGCTTTGTGGGAAATGCCTGGACTAAAACAACACCACTCCCTTCATAAACTTGGCTACAATATGTTATTGAGTTAGATAGATTGAACACAACAACGTGTTGTTGAACTACAATTGACCTTTGTTTTCACTTGACCCTTTTAACACTTTATAATAGCAACACACACATCCACAATTTGTTTCCCCATGGTTCTCCTCTTCAATCAGGTTTAACTGAATGCCTGTTAGAAATAGATCTGTATCTAGTTGTGGTTGTGTTATAAAAAAAAAATCAACACCAAAACACCTAGGAACTATTGGTTGGAGGACCACTGGTTTTGCGTTTCCAGGGTGTTCTTTTCTTGGTCTATTGAGTTATACAGAAAAGGAGGTGGGGGACCCTGTCCCAAACTAACCGACCCTGTCCTAGGGTAGCGATTGTACTGGATATCATATTTTTCTTCCACTCTCTCTCCATCCCTCAACGTCTCTGTGTTGTCCTCCCAGACCTTCTTTTGGATGCCCCCTTTGCGTTCCCGTCGCCCATCTTCTCGTCTTGGGCAGCTGCCTCCTCTTCCATCTCTCCCGTGACTGGTTCCTCCTCTGTATCTTCTGTGACTTGTCCTAGGTCTGGGGTTGGCTCTTCCTCCTTGTCCTCAGGCACTGCTAGGCTCTGCTGCTCTGGGGTGGCTTGGCCCGGGGTCCCCCTAGTGCTGCTGGTGGTAGTGGTGAGGTCCTGCTGGGATGAAGATGAGGCTGAGGGAGTGTTGTCCTGGGGTTCAGGGCAGGGCTTAGAGGGCCTCAGTGTGGTGGTGGCGATGGTGGGCTGCAGTAACGCTGGGCTGCTGAGGAGCTCTGAAGGCAGGCTGTTTGAACCTGAGATGGTGTGGTTACTATCGCTCTCTGCATCTCCATCTATGGGAGTAGGTTCCAATGTCCCATCCTTCTGGCTACGCAATGCCCTGTACTTCTGTATGGGAGAGAAGGCACAAACATATAGGATTTAAAGGAGATGACTGCAACAGACGAGACAACTGTAGGCAAACCCGTTAATGTTATGTGTGTGGTGTCTTAATTCATATACAAGACATGCGATTATACAACCAACCTTGAGGTTCTCAAAGTGTTTGAGTGACTTGCAGTGCGAGTGGCGGGCTGAGGACTCAAAATGGTAGAAGTGCTGGCAGATTCTACAGAGGAACCCAGCCACGGGGACCACAAAGCTAGAACCTGGGAGATGAGCAGAGAGAGGTACTGTAAGTCAATGAAAATGGAATGGCACATGACAAAATCATAATGTGCAATATACAAATAACATGAACTGATAAATGATTGATTCAGAATGGCTTTTCAAGTCAGTGAGTGGTGTGTTGTGAGACAGTGACCCCTGGAAGAGTGTCACTCACCGTACACCGTGTCAGGGTCATACTCCTCATCTTCATCTACGTCCTCTAGTAGAGCCACCTCCATCTGGGTAGGCCAGCCCTCCTGCCACACCAAACACACACATGACCAAATAGATCTAAACCAACAAAATAATGACGACATGAATATACATCTTCAAAATGTCTCCAGTATTGATCCTGTGAAAAAGTGAATGTGTGCATGGAAGAAAGCGCGAGAGCAGGAAAGAAGAGACGTGTGTGACAAAGTGTGTACAAGGAGATGCCTAACCTTTCCATGGGAGCTGCTTTGTTCACCATCTTCCCATTCCTCTTTCTCGTCATCTACAAAACAGCCCTGTTCGTCCATGGCAACCAGTTCAGCCAAGGCCGCTGGCCCCCCCTCCTCCCGAAGCTGTAGTGGGAGGAGCACAGAACAGTGAATAAGAAAGAGGGGGGAGGGAATGGTTGTCAAGTGTTGCGTCCCAAATAGCACCCTAATCCTATTTAGTGCACTATATAAGGAATAGGGCCACATCTGGGACGCGAGAAAGGTAATCAATTTAATGGATTTCCAAGCTGCCGAGGCAGAGATGAGCAGACCGTCAGACACACCTTGTCGACTCTCTGCTTGTGCTCCTGGGACTCCATGTGTTCCAGGAACAGGCATGGGTTCTTGAAGTGACTCTTGCAGACAGTACAGGAGGGGTTGGAGGTGCGGATGGTCAGCTTGTGCTCACTGGTCCTGCGGTGGTCCATGACTGTACTGGTGTAGTGGATTTGGCAGGTGGCACACCAACGCTGCAGGCCGGGACTCTTCTCTCTGTGTTAAACACAGACAGCTCTATGAGGACCATCAGGGTCATATTCATAGACATAAACCGTAGCAAAACATTTTGCAATGGAAAACGAAAAAAGTGTTTATTGGACAAGTTTAGGCAGACCCTTCCTATTTGGGTGAGCTTTCGTCCTTACTTTACTTGTCACCAACGTGCATTAGTACTGACCCATCCCTGAAGCAGGAGCTGTCCCTGCGGCCTGCCTGTAGTGACTCCTGGACGTGGGGCATCAGGGTGACCAGACAGGCGTTGGACATGTGTTGGATCTCCATCATCCTCTGCTGGTGGGCCAGGCTGTTCATGTGACTCTGGAAGTCCTAATGAGGAAAAGAGATGGAGCGAAAGGGAGAGAGAGCGATACAGAGAGATGGAAAGAGAGAGATACAGAGAGGTGGAAAGAGAGATACAGAGAGATGAAGTAGAGTGATTCCTCTGTCTGATACGTCGAGCTGAGAGCTTGCCTTGGACCATCCAAAAGCAAACACATTTCACTTTACACCCTTAGGGTGGGTGGGTGTGTGTGTGTGTGCGTGCGTGCGTATGTGTTTGCGCTACCTGCTGGTTGTGACAGGTGATGGTGCAGATGTAGCAATAGAACTTGTTGGCAGCATCACCCCCCTCCTTGCCCTCTTCCTGCCCCCCTTCCAATACCCCTGGGGCAGCCTTGCCCTCTGCCAAGTCCTTCAGGCCTGGGGTAAATGCTGACACTCCACTCTGGACCTGCTCATACACAGGGAGGGCCCTTAAATCAGGTCATGATATCACTTTTTGGGAGCAGAAGTCGGGTGCTATCTGTTTGATCTAGCATTACATTGACAGTTTGGTCTTAAGTAAAGCGCGATGATAAAACTGACCTCGGCTGCTCTGCTCTCCTCTAGTGCCTCTGCAGCCTCTGATCCAGCCGTGCTCCCGCCCTCCTCCAGAATGAAACAGTCTGTTCATGGAAAGGAGAGAACAGGTGAGATAAGGGCAGCACTAGTCCCACCAAGCCACATGTGAAAGGCCAGTGCTGTAGCTCGGTGAGAGTAGGAGGCTAGGATGGTATACAAGACCACTCACCTTCAAGCTGGCTGTCATCTTGTGGGCATTGATACACTGCTGCACCTAGGACCCCATCTGTCTCAGGAGGCTGATCCACAGTCTCCTCTGACCTGAGACAGAAAGGAAACAGGAGGGGAGGGACAGAGGGGGAAGGTTACATGTCACTACAAGCTGCTACCCTCCAAGGACTCATCTCAACATATGGATACTCAGTTAAGTCTAATCTGAATAGGTACGTAAACAAAACAACTACCCAACTGCTCTATAACTTGAGATATCCTGGATGCATTTTTTTTCCAACTCAAAACAGTGTTACTTACCCCTCTGTCCTCTGCTTCTTCAGTGCTGGCTCCTTGGGCTCAGGTTGCACTGAGGGCTGTGCCTTTCCACCTGGGCCTCCCACTCCTCCACCTGTAGGGAGAGGGAGACACAGGGCTATCTACTGTTCCAACCACATATTGAATGTTTCACACCCACTCAAAAACATACAGAGAAGGAGACATAGGAAAAGAGCAAGCAACCAAAAAACAAACCCTTTTCATACTTCTGAGATTTCACTAGCTCTAAAGAAAAGACGCGAATGAACACCAGTGCTAGCAGGCGTTGCTAGCTGGTGTTGCTATCTTGCGTTGAGTGTTCAGGTACGGTCCTACCTTTGAGAGTCTTGTCATTGGGGAGGGTCCTGCTGGCTGCAGGTTGGTTATCTGTGCTCCCCACGGCTCTCTGCTCCCTCTTTCTATCCGGGTGCCGTGAAGAATAGTCCTACATGGACAGAGTGAGCCATTTGATCAGCCAATCAACTGCTCTCTCAGCAAACAACAACAGTTAACATGTGCAACAGGTATAGAGGACTAAGAAATGTAAAAGACATCTTATTATTTGAGCAATTCAGTATAATTATACGCATTTTGCATCATCATGATGATGTGGCCGGTGACACTTTGCTTCTTGAAAGTCCAATATCTTGAAAACTTGACTGCTAACATGCAAAACATTTTGGGACTGTATCAAATGTGGACTAATGGAAAAAAATACCAAACGATAGTTTGAGTGGATTTTCACTTTAAGCCTCCTCATAGCATTGTCCCAACAGTTTCAAAACAATCAAAGCAATCTTAACAACTCAGAGTAAAACTCAAGTAGAACTTTTAGCTAGTCAAACAGAAACCGCTCAGAGTGGGTGCTCAGTGCCTTGTAGTTATCCATAGTTAAATAGAGGTTGTTATTACGTTGTTGTTGTTGTTGTTGTTGTAGTAGCGGGTGTGGGGGTGGTAGTGTCGGGCAGGGAAGCCCATGTGGGGGTTCTTGATGGACATGCCCATGGGTACCGGCCCCAGGAGAGAGGACCGGGCCCCCGCAGCAAAGAACTGGGTGAACTGCTGCCCACTCGCTGTAAAGCCCCGCATGCTACCTGGAAAGCCAGAGAAAGAAGGAGGGAAGGAGAGAGAGGTAGGAGAAAGTGTGGGAGAGGCAGAGATAGGGGATGAGTATGAGAAAGAGATCTAAATGGTGAAACAAACTGTTTTTCAGCAATAGGGTGGTGCCATAGTTTCTATCAGGTGGCATTAGGAGCTATAAGGAACACCAAATCAATGGGATTGCAATCAAAACAAAGTGTTAACATTGCAGAGACTCATACAGCTTTTGCATGTACACACCAGCTATGTAGATATAAAGATGTAATACCATATTGTCAATCTACTTGTCTATACGTTTGCTGACATTATGAAATGCTCTCACCTTGCATCTGCTGCATCATTAGAGCCCCTTGTAACATTGGGTTGGGGGCGATGATGGTGGCCTGGGTGGCCAGGTTGACCATACGGGGAGGTGGAGGAGCAGGGGCTGGTACGGCCATGGCCCTGGTCATCACAGAGCCACGGAGAGAATGGCCATTACTAAGCAGTATTTATATTTAAATATAATACAGCCACAGAGTTTGGAACAGTTGGCCAGTGTTACTTTCAATACTATTTATACAAAGAAAATGTGGGGTGCGTTCAGCAGGACAGAAAGGTGTGCAACGTTTAATTAAAACAGAAACTATACTGTTCTGAATGACAAGTCAAAGAATGTTGTGATTATGGGGGTGTGCTGCATAAGTTTTGCAAATGGTCACACCCATGATCAGGCCACACCCCACCACACCCACCTAACGGGAGAAAACATACTGGCACAAAGTTTCTAAACCCAGAGGCCCAACATCATGATACTTCCGGGAACGCGTCGTGAAGCAGACCAGACCAGGGTTTGGCAAGTCAATGGGAGAAGTGAAAAATGTGTCCTTAGTTGTTAATTTTCTCTAAATCTAAAGGAAAAACCTAGTGCTGAGTGATTAACCAAAATGTTGGTTATTTTTTGGTTTTTAAACAACTAATTGACAGACATCAGTTCAATTATTTGAATTCCATTTTGTTCTGGGGTTTTTTCTGTCATCGCGATGCACAGTTTATCTAGAGATCAATCAGCGCAAGCCCAAACTGTGCGATGTAATAGCAAGTTGTAGTTTCCAACAGGCCAATATTAGACATAGTTTAGCGCAGAAAACGTGGTAATTATCTACAATGACCATAATCCATTGCCCGCATACTGGTCCGGTCTGTGTGGAGCAGACACGGAGACGGAGAGAAGAATGCGCGATCCAAAGGGATAGAGAGCAGTTGCTTCGCGAGGTATCTCTACCTGAAAATACATGATTAAGTGATTGATAGTTGGCATTCAGCAGTCATAAAAGTCTGCCTTATTTACTTTGAAGAACTACTAAAATAGTGATTTTGTCAGACAGCATAGGCAGCAGCTCTATAGAGATGAGATGACTTGGAATGAAATAACAAAGTCATCAAATAAAACAAATGTAATATACACAACAACTGAAATATTTTATTAAAGTAATGTGAATAAATTATGGTTAATAATTGATAAGCACTAATGGGCAGTCACTACCATCATGGGACATATTTTGAATTGTTTTATTTTGTGTTGTTCAGAATTCAACCCACATAATGCATAGTGTATTTTATTTTTGTATTTAAAATAATCTAACCGAAACTACTTCAAAAAACACTAAATCGCTCAGCACTAGCAAAACCTAGATTCGAGCCAATGTCTTAAGTAGCTGAAACTGTACTACAACCTTGTGAAAGAGACAAACTGACACGTTTTCATTTTCATCAACTTCATATTGAAGGAATGACTGATTTAACGGCCTGCACATGCGTATTTTGGCGCAAGACGACCGTTATACCAGATGAAGTGTTTCTACGCATGAGCTTAGCTAATTTATGTCGCCATGACATCGCCTACAAGCGTGATCTGGGATTTCTATTGGAGAAGCAGTTTCTAGGCCTCTTTATTTAAATTATCTTTGATACCGGGGTGCGTTCAAATTGCTTAAACTTTTGCTACGTAGTGTGACCCTAAAACGGTGGGCACCGTTCTTCAACAGCCTTTGAGGTATGTTTGCTCGTTTGGTGGGTATGTGTGGCGATATGTGGCCTGATCAATATGGGTGTGATCATTTGAAATCGTGCAGCACACCATACAGCAATCGCCCTCTGGGCCACGATAATCACAATGTTTTTCAACTGGTCGTACAGTACAGCTTCCCTTGAATTCAATGTTTCACACAGTTCTGTCATACTGAACGCAATCCTGGGGTACGTTCAGTTCAATTCAACTTTTGCTATGTTGCCTGACGGTTGGTACTGAACACAGGAGGTTGGTGGCACCTTAATTGGGGAGGATGGGCTCGTGGTAATGGCTGGAGCGGAATCTGTGGAATGGTATCAAATACATCAAACATGGTTTCCATGTGTTTGATGCCATTCCATTGGCTCCGTTCCAGACATTATTATGAGCAGTCCTTCCCTCAGCAGCCTCCATTGGTACTGAACAACACGTTTCCCCAAAATGGTGCACACTGTTCTTCAACAGCAGTGTATTCACTAGGAACCAAATAGAACCAAACGAAATGGAGAGGGGCCTATCTGTCCAATATTAACTTGTTTTCGTTGCAGCTGTTTGCTATCTATGGTTTAATGATTACAACTCAGCCTTTGAGATACTTCTGCTCCCATTTGGTGGGTGTGGCCTGATCAATATGCGTGTGACCATTTTAAATCGCAAAACTCATGCAGCACACACCAAACACATCTCCCTCTGGGCCACCATAATCACACCGTTCTTCAACTGGTCGTTCAGTAGTGTCGTTTCCGTTTTATTAAACACCGTTCTCTTGTACTGAACGCACCCCCTGTAGAACGGTTTGCAGCGTTTTGGGAAAGCTTGTCTAAAACACAGTTAGGCAACATTGGGAAATGTTGAATGAACTGAACCAGAGGAAGATATAACTAGATCATATTTGACTGAACACACCCCTGGCAAATTTAATACAAGATAAACATAATACTTATTGTCTGATTTTAGCAACTGTTGCTAACAAGTCAGATTTAGGGCCGTATATCCACGACCTCGAGTTCACACTTCTTACCGTCCTCTTTGGTGGTGATGTGGAACATGGTGCGATGGAGGGGGTTGGGGTTGTGGTGGAGGAGGCGGTGGAGGGGGTGGCTGGTGCTGGAACAGCTGCTGAAGCTGCCGCAGATGATGGTGAAACTGTTGCTGTTGTTGTTGCTGTTGGTGGTGGTGTGGGTTAAACATCCCGACGTTATGTGTTCAGTAACTTGTTAGCTACGTTTCCGTGGTTGCTTGCAAAAAAGCCTATCGATGATACCTCCTCGGCTCAGGATCTTGATAAGAGAGAGAAAAAAAGCTTTTGATAATCTGATCTCAATAAACCTTGAATCCAGCTACCTATCATGCAGAGTATAACGTTGGCTACATAAGTTAGCTAGCTACGCCTCTCTGGCTATAGAGAACAGGATCAATACAGCTTGTTTGTGTATAAGTTATTTGTGTTTTTCTAGCTAGGATGTTCTTACGTTCCTGCCCATGGTTTCTAGCTAGCTAGTCAGCACTAGCAACGCTAGTCAGTGTCTACCTTCTCTGGCTAACGTCATAACTAGCTAGCTATCCACCGTATAACGTTTGTAATGTTTAGCTAGCTAGCAATTTAGCCTAGCATTAGCAACAGAGCTAGCTATTTGGTTTACGTTAGCTGCAAGCTTTAGTTCAGTGCCTTTGTTTTATGTAATCTGAATAATAAATGGTAGCTGGCTACATTTTATTTACATGTAATATATATTTTTTAACCATATAACGATAACCTACTTTTTAACAGATAAATCGTTTAAAATTATTTTAGAAGCGCAGGTTTGTAACGGTCTGCAGCCTGTTGAAAGTTATCAGCGATCGTTCTGTTGAGGCTGTGAAGCAGGCAAGATTAACTAAACTCTTCCGGGTCACGGATTTTTGGAATCCTTCAGAATAAGAGTCCCGTCCTGTATACTTTGTAAATTGGGTGAAAATTATGGAATATTGTCACAATTATCAATACATTTTACACTAGTTATCATACAAATAATTATTAAAAGTATTTCTATAAGATATTATGTGATGAAAACATATTTGTTTTAAATCTAAGACTAAATGATAATTACAAAAATGGTGTGGGTAATCCTGTCATTTATTGGACTGTCCACAATTTTCTGTGTATTGTGTTGCAGTAAAAGGGGGATCCGTTCTACTCAGGAGCACTTCTGCTTTCCAGATCCATAGAGTTTACACACCCAGCATGTCACTGCTCATTTTGAGGACTTTGCTAAACAAGTGCTTCTAGTTCATTTCTTAGCAAATTATCTACTTTATAATCACAGTCTTGATTTTCTCATTTGTAATAACAAGGCAGTGGTTTATGGCAAGAATAGGAAAGATCTCATCCTTGAAATAAGATACATTTCAGATGATCAAAGGTTACCTTGAACAGCAATTAGCCCAACAGAGTAGGATTTGTAGCATGTATAATACTTCTTCCAATATTGATCACAGCTTTGCAATCCATGCACAACAGACTAGAAAGGTGGTTATGACAACAGAAAGCAATTTACCGACAAATTTTACTCTGTCCAGCATACATAGCAAGCGCACATATTAATTGTCTAGTTTAATCACATTTTCAGATAAATATAACTTTGTCAGGATATTTGGTACATTAACTGTAATCAAAGATCAAAATCTACAGTAGCCTATACCTTTGAATTAGTTACCTTTAATGGCCGCAAAATGAGTAGGGACACTGCTGGGGGTGTAAACTCTGTGGATTTGGAAAGCAGAAGTGCACCTGAGTAAAATGGACCGCCTTTTACTGCGACAAAGTACAGGAAATTATGTACGGTGCAATATGTATGTCCAATATGAAAAACGTACTGCATTTAACATTTTACTGCATTGGGCTAAATCAGGGTCACACATTTTCTTGGTATTCTTAAACAAATCTACTTTGAAACAAAAGTATACACACATGGTTATGGACTTTAAAAAAAGAAAACACCTGTACCATTTATATTTGTATTGATTAAGGATCCCCATTAGTTTCTGCCAAGACAGCAGCTACTCTTCCTGGGGTCCTGCAACATTAAGGCAGTTATATACAACTTAAAATATTACATGATATTACATTTCATAACACTTTACACAATACATTTAGTGTGTTCCCTCAGGCCACTACTCCACTATCACATACTTACAATACCATGTCTCTTCGCTGTTACAGAAGGTGTATTTTATCTGTTTTTTTAAAATCTGATTTTACTGCTTGCATCAGTTACCTGATGTGGAATAGAGTTCAATGTAGCCATGGCTCTATGTAGTACTGTGTGCCTCCCATAGTCTGTTCTTAACTTGGGGATTGTGAAGAGACCTTTGTTAGCATGTCTTGTGGGGTATGCATGGGTGTCTGAG